GTGCACCCATGCACATTTGTCTATTTCCGGAGCAGAACTCTAAAACCGTTCAATATTTCTTCACCAAGCTTGGCACATAGATAGATCTGGTGGTGTACTGGTGCATTTTGGTAGTTTTGGAATTCTGAATAAAACATTTTTGGCTTTTCCATGGCAACAAGTTCGACATGGCTCCGGACGGACGGAGCCTAACACTATATCCCCCGGTTCGTGCTAAAAGTGGGGCGGATATAGTATTAGGCTCTGTCCGTACGAATTTGGATTATCTTAAGAACCGTTGACTAGATTCTTTTCATATTTGGTACCTAGGTTCATCACAGTATAAGAAAGGTCCCAGTCAGGTTTAGTGACCTTGACCTTAATTTCAAGGTCACAAGGGGACTTTAACGTTTTACTCTTGTCAGCAAGATATCTCAAGAACCGTTAACTAGATTTTCTTCTTATTTGACACCAAGCTGCATCCAGCGAAGGCGCAGGGCCCCGTCAATTTTGGTGACCTTCACTTAAATTTCAAGGTCACAGCGACACTGAAGATTTCACCATTTTAAATTGCATGTTAACATAGTCAGCAAGATATTGCAAAAAACCATTCACTGGACTTTCTTCATATTTGACACCAAGCTTCATCTAGGGAAAGTGCAAGGCCCAGTTGATTTTGGTGACCTTCACTTAATTTTCAAGGTCACAGAGACACTTTGAAGATTTCAGCATATTAACCTACAGGTAATGCTTGTCAGCAAGATACCTGAAGAACCATTCACTGGAGTTTCTTCATATTTGAAACCAAGCTTCATCCAGGGAAGGGGGCGGTGGGGTAGCCTAGTGGTTAAAGCGTTGGCTCGTCACGCCATAGACCCGGGTTCGAATCCCCACATGGGTACAATGTGTGAAGCTCATTTCTGGTGTCCCCCGCCGTGATGTTGCTGGAATATTGCTAAAAGCGGCGTAAAACCAAACTCAGTCAGTCAGTCATCCAGGGAAGGCGCAGGGCTAAGTCGATTTTGGTGACCTTCACTTAATTTTCAAGGTCACGGAGACACTTTGAAGATTTCAGCATGTTAACCTGTATGTTAAGATGGTCAGCAAGATATCGCAAAATATATTCAGTGGATTTTCTTCATATTTGACCCCAAGCTTCATCTAGGGAAGGCCCAGGGCCGAGTCAATGTTGGTGACCTTCACATAATTTTCAGGGTCACGACGACACTATGAAGATTTCAGAATGTTAACCTGAATTGTCAGCAAGATATTTTAAGAACGGTTCACTGGAATTTCTTCATAGACTTTCAAGACCTCCCTTGAATGTTTTTCAATAAGCAATTTCTTTAGTATTAGTTTTGCACTTTTCATACACTATGACATTCATGTCAAGGTCAAAGGCAGTCTTGAAAATATATGTGTGTTTGAACAACTAGAGAGCAAGATAATTTTTTTGTTGACATTTAACTTCATCTTAAACTATCATTACTTTATAAATTTGAATTGTTAAATTGCGGCGGGGGATTATGTCACCTTAGTGACAATGCTTGTTATCCCCCGCAACGCGTTTTGTGTGTGTGTGTGTGTGTGTGTGTGTGTGTGTGTGTGTGTGTGTGTGTGTGTGTGTGTGTGTGTGTGTTATTAAAATGGACTCCGTCCGTGCACCCGTCCGTGCACATTTGTCATTTCCGGAGCAGAACTCTAAAACCGTTCAATATTTCTTCACCAAACTTGGCACATAGATAGATCTGGTTGTGTAATAGTGCCTTGTGGTAGTTTTGGAATTCTGAATAAAACATTTTTGGCTTTTCCATGGCAACAAGTTCGACTTAAAATGAAATTGGTGGTAGTGCTCTTTTCGGGAGCAGAACTCTAAAATCGTTCACTATTTCTTCACCAAACTTGGCACATAGATAGGTCTGGTGGTGAACTGGTGCGTTTTGGTAGTTTTGGAATTCTGAATAAAATAATTTTCGCGTTTCCATGGCAACCTGTTCGACTTAGCCTGAAATTGGTGGTAGTGCTCTTTTCCGAGCTGAACTTTAAAACCATTCACTATTTCTTCACCAAACTTGGCACATAGATTGGTCTGGTGGTGTACTGGTGCCTTTTGGTAGTTCTGGAATTCTGAAGAAAATATTTTTAGCGTTTCCATGGCAACAAGTTTGACTTAGCCTGAAATTGGTGGTAGTGCTCTTTTCGGGAGCAGAACTCTAAAACCGTTCACTATTTCTTCACCAAACTTGGCACATAGATAGATCTGGCAGTGTACTGGTGCCTTTTGGTAGTTTTGGAATCCTGAATAAAATATTTTTGGCTTTTCCATGGCAACAAGTTTGACTTAGCCTGAAATTGGTGGTAGTGCTCTTTTCGGGAGCTGAACTCTAAAACCGTTCACTATTTCTTCACCAAACTTGGCACATAGATTGGTCTAGTGGTGTACTTGTGCCTTTTGGTAGTTTTGGAACTCTGAATAAAATATTTTTGGCATTTCCATGGCAACAAGTTTGACATAGACTGAAATTGGTGGTAGTGCTCCTTTCTTGAGCAGAACTTTAAAAACCTTTCAATACTCTCCTTCCACTTTTCTATATACACACCTTAATATTTGACATAATCATAACTCCTAGACATAATCATGAAGAGTATTTTGCCATTGCGGGGGATATTGATGACTTTGTCTTCTTGTTTTGTTTTTAAAATGGACACACGCCAAACAATGTGAAAGTAGGTAGAATTAAAACTTTGAAAGCTCTGCTTTTTGAGGCAACAGAATTATTTCAATTTTTCTCGTACTTGGAGAACAAAATATGTGTTGTTTATCTGTTTTAATGACTAAAATAAATACCGATTTTGAGTGAAATGCATTCACACCTGTAGACAATGACTATTTTATATCCCGTCATTCCAATTTTTAAGAAATCCATTTACATCCATTCTTACACTAGATCTGGTTTCATCTGTTTCTGTGAAAGGAAAAAAAATTCATGCATAACATCTTCGATCATCAGAATTGTCCTTCTTGTGACGATAGACACATAACAATATTATGTTATTATGATGACATACTGACATTTCATAATATCTCCCCATGTCAGAACTATTATTTGAAAATCATCGACCGTGAGATCCATCACGACTTTGAATTTGTAATAATAAAGATCTACGCACCGGCGGCAATATTGAGGCGAAAAAATAAACAAAAAAAGGAAAAAATGACAACAACAGTTGATAACTGCTAACAGTTACCCATTGAAAGTGTTTAGTAAGTTAATTCTACCATAAATTTTGGATTTTTAGGGGAATTTGAATCAATTTAGAAAATGTATCAATGGTCGTTTTCCAACTCGTGCATGCTTTACCTCCATGGGTGCGATGCTGTAAGTGCTTCTGGTTTCATCAAGGGTGGGTACAATTGCAAATATTGTGATTAATTTTCATGATCTGTATAATTTAGGTATTGAATCGTTTTCTTAGAATGTATATGAGTTAAGATTCTGATTCTGAACGCATATTTTCTAACACCCTTCGTACGTGTCTTGTCACCTAAAAACCCCGCAAGTTTAGACACGCCCTTACGCGTCACCATGGCTGTCAACTATGTCAGTGTCGGAAGGTTTATCAAACAAAATCATTGTAAACTCGATAAATATGATATTTTTTTGACAAAGACAATAACAGATACCGAATGATACCATGTAATTGATTCCAGCGAAAATAATTGGATCTCTCAAAGAATGGCAAAATTTTTCGGTATCATGATGCATGTGGAGTTGTTGGTTTACCGCCGTTGCCATGATCATTCCTATTTCATCCAATCGGTGATGTAAAATTGAGATTGTTTTTTGTTTATAACTAATTAATCTGAAAGTTATTAATTTTTAGAAAATATGAAACTGTTTTCTCTTCACCAAAGAACAAAAATATTGATCAAATTTTGAAAAAAATATTTCATTACGAAGAAAATATTAGACTGTGTACAACTCTGCATGATGTGCACGAAGGCAACAATGGCCGTTATTTGTGGCTGTGTGCAGAGAAATTTGGTGAACAAATTTTTAATTCGTGGGCATTTTGTTTTAAGGTACATAAACTAATTGAAGATTATATATTTAGAAAGCCGAGAATTAATTCATTCCATACATAATTTAAATGACACGTAAATCCGACTTGTTGAATAATTATTGCAAGTTTTATTTGGAGATGTCATGATGCTGCTGTCCTGTCGAATGGGTTCGACAGTAGCATTGAGAGGATTAAAGACGTTACATCATGTTTTGTTTTTTGCACTTATTTGCCGATCAGGTTTGTGTGTGTGGAATTTGATCTTTCCCAAGAGTGCTACATCAACATCTTGGAACTTTGTCAGTGTGGCCTGTCTCGATCACATCTGTCACTCTTTCCAAGGACACATAGTTTTTGTATCTAAGAATTGTTTAAACAATTCATGCTGTGTTTATGTAGATTGGCTTTTCATTAGCACTTATTTGCTGATTAATTTCCTGTTGTGGAATTTGATCTTTCCCAAGAGTGCTACATCAACGTGTTGGAACTTTGTCAGTGTGGTCTCTTATCACATCTGTCACTCTTTCCATGGACATTGCTTGCTTTCTGTGGTTGAAGGACAATCTTGGGGTAAGACTCGTCAATAGAACCCAATCTTGCAGCATGTTAAGTTCTTCATTTCAGTGAACCATTGATGCTATACTTCTTCAGAATGCCAGTGAGAACTTTCCTTTGTAACAATATATAATTGTCTATTTAATGATTCTACCAAGTAGATATGGGTGGAAGGCTCTATCAGTTTGACATGGCTGATTTTGTGTGTGTCATCAGTTACTAATAAATGTGGCTAGAATCTTGATGGGTGTGCTTGCAGACAGCACTTGTTCCTCACCGATTCGAAGCTGAACAATAATAACATATCACCTGTCCAGGCTGAAGTTCAGTTTGATGTTTTAAACATAGTGTATGGCTTGCAATCACTGCTCACATTCTCATTGGAGGTGCTACACTTGCAGGTATGAAGTTTGGTCGGCAAGAGGAGCCTGATCAGGATAGTCAGGGAGCTCCTGTGCAAGCTGAGCAGACACAGCAGACTATTCAAGCTCAGCCACAGTTTGGGGGACCTCTGCCAGGTGAGCAGACAAATGGAATATGAAACAGGGCTGGGTTAGGAATGATTGACCCTGATATGAATCTCCTCTGTGGTGCAATGCATGAATTGTTATGACAGGTCTGGAATATTAACAGTGGCATAAAACCAACCTAGCATTGAAGCAATGCATGATGTAATAAGTTATTTAACTTTCGAAATGAAAGGTTGAATTCCCTTTTGATGGCTGCCATCTTTTAACTTGTAAGAATATTCTTGCTATTTCATTACTCTTTACTTCGTTGATTCAGGGGTGGTGCCTGTGATGACCCACATGATGCCCCCAGTGATGATGCCAGTGCCTGGTCAAATGCCCCCAACCCAGATGCCCCCCGGGCAGTTACAACCTGGCCAGATGCCCCCGGGGCAGATGCCACCACGACAAATGGGTGCCGGTCAGCTCCAGCAAGGGCAGATGCCTCAAGGTCAGCTAGCCCCGGGGCAGATGCCACCCGGAATTCCACCACAGATTTGTCTGCCCCAAGGACCCGCCCCATCACAAGCTCAGACAATTCCACATCCAGGATCATTAGGCACCATGCCTGGTGGTCTGAGACCACCAGCTCAGGTAACTCATGCAAAGATTAAGGCTTAAGAGCTCACATTAGAATTGAATAATTTGTCTTGAAATAATACCTTATACTGTCCTTGATTTAATGTAAATTATTGTGATTCTCCACTTCATGTGTTTTTGCATGTCATCACCCCTTGACAGTATTTGATTGTAGCTCATTTGATACAGTTTTAATACTAGTGCAATGTGAACAAGTTTCATAGACTCACTCTGACATATAGTCAAACCATTATTTTTTTGTTTTCTATTTTTCAGGCAATGACCGTTGTGTCCCTCGGTAGCAAGCCATTGGAGACTGCTAGTGCTCAGCTAAGTCAGGCCATCCACAACATAATGTCAACATCCATCCCAACCCCTGGTATTCAGCAACCACCCCGAGGAGCTCCTCGTCCTGGCTTTCCTCCTCAACATGGAAGCTTCCCCAGCTTCAATCCAAATGTGCCTCCACCAAATTTCAGAATGCCAATGCCAGGGACCCCCGTCAGGTTACCATTTGGTGCTCCAGGACAACCTGTGAAGCCAGCTGATGATAGTGAAAGTGATAAAGGAATGGACTGGAGTGGTGACAATGAACCAGAAGACAAAGATGAACGAATGGGTGGTTCTGGTCCTGTAACTGGCTTCCCTCCTCGTCAACCATTCGGCCCCCCAGGTTCACAAAACATGCCAACATCTCAAGCTGTGTCACTGCCATCACTGATGGGAAGCCCAATGGGGCATGGTCCACGACCACTTATATCAATAGCTCAGATGCCAGGAATGCCACCTCGGCCTCAAATGACTGTTGGACCCAGACCAAGCTTAATGGGTCCTGGTGACCAACAAGGAATTGTGCTTCAAGGACCACCTGGTACCCCAACACGTCAACCAGGACCAGGAGGACCACCTGTTTCACTAACAGGGCCAGGTGGACCATTAATGCCTGGTGGACCTCGAGGTCCAGCTGTTGGTCTGAGTCCAAGAGGTTTCCCAGGACCTGGTGGACCCCGACCTGGTCTGTTAGGTTTCAGACCAGGTCTCCCAGGACAAGGGTTCAGGTTTGCTTCCCCACAAGGTGGGCCCCCAGGGGCACCACCCAACTTTAGGGGACCGAGACCTCCATTTGGTATGGGACCTGCCCCTGATATGGAAAGACCATTCCAGGATGGGCCCCCAGGTGTAGATGGGCCCGAGTTTAATCATGGTGAAAAAATGGAAAGGTTTGGTGGCAGTGGAAGACCTCCACCTCTTATGAGTTTAGAAACTGAAATGGACAGGTGGAACTCAAATGAGAGGAGAAATTCTGGTGAAAATATGCAACAAGGTGGTTTTAGAAGAGACTTCGATCAAGATGATGATGAATTCAGCGAAAACAGATTTGGTCGGGACCGTGACATGGCTAGAGATGTGGGGCGAGATCGTGATATGAACAGGGAACGGGGAAGAGATTTCAGAGGTCGAGAACCTGGTAGAGATAGGGGAGGATTTGGACAGGGTGGTCAGTTCTTGTACAGAGATAGAAATGACCGTAGTCCAAGAAATGAGCGTGGTGGTCCTGAGCGTGGTGCTCCTGAGCGTGGTGGTGGTGGTCCTGACCGTGGTGGTGGTGGTGGTCCTGACCGTGGTGGTGGTGGTGGTGGTCCTGATCGTGAAAGAGATCGTGAAAGGGACAGAGACTATGAAAGAGATAGAGAAAGAGATCGGGACAGGGACCGAGATCGTGATCGCGATAGAGACAGGAGAGGTGGACGCCATGATGAGAGGGATCACCGTGACAGGACAGATCGTTCTAGAGATCGAGAAGGTGAAACAAAACCTAGCACAAGGGCAAGAGATCGTTCTAATCGCCAGAGTAGATGGAGTCAAGTTGTCCAGGGAGAAGATGATGCTGCCCCTGTAGTGTCTGAAGCTAATTTGGCAGTAGCAGAAACGGGTGGTGACTCCTCCAATAATTCTGCTGCTCCTCCAGTTGCTGCAGCTGCCATTCCTGAAAGTGAAGCAGGTTTAGCCTCTGTTAGTGAAGCAGGTGAAGCTTCTCAACCACCTGCTGGAGATGTCAAAGATGTGACACCGTCTGAGGTGCCTGCTGCACCAGTTGATGCTCCTGCCCCAGTTATTGTTCCTGCAGATACACAGGAATCAGCCACAGAGAGGTCTGTAGAAGCACAGGACATTACACAAGCAGCAGAATCTTCACAAGTCACTGAATCCTCTGTTCACAGTGTTGATAAACCAAGTGAAAGCTCACCTGTTCCTGAGGCTTCTGCAACACTTGAATCTTTTACAGCAGCACAAGAGTTTAACACTGTGTGTGAACCAACCGAAACATCAAGTGAAGATGTCTCACAGTTAGATTCCAAACCCAATCCAGAGACACAAAGTAATTCAGTTCCTGTTAATCATGGAGATACTAACAACCATCATGCAAATCTAGTTGATTCATCAAGTGTGCATGAAGCACCCCCTGACACTGTTAGCAATCATGATATTACAAATGACAATGGTGATGTTCACTCTTCACAAAGTTTATCTGAAAGTAAACCCCTAGTAGAGACTACGAATGGGCCTGATGCCATGGACTCTGAAATGAATAACGGTCCTATTGAACCTGTGAAAGTAGTGAAAGACATTGAGGAGCCTGAAGCAGACAATGTTGTCACACCACCAGGGGATATGGAGACTGAGGGCACGGTAGCTAGCTAGTGTCGTTGCTCCCTACGTGGATGTGATCTGTGTGTTCCCAACTGTGCTTCTAGAATCATCTCATTCATCACTCATCTTCATACTGTAATTATGCTGTATCCAAAGGATGAATGATGTCTTCAGATTGCTGCAGACACCGTATTAATTTGTACATATTGTGAAAGTTGTTTTATCTGATGATTTAAATGACAACACACATTCTAGGTACACTCAGATTTTTATTACAAGATGCAGTTTTACTCAAATCATGCTATGATCATCAGGAAAGACTTGTTGAAAAAGCCATTTCAAGAAATTTTTTTTATCTTCAAATAAACTCACATCCTATGTTCTTATTTGTCAATGTTATGAAATGATTATGCTGAGAGAAATTGAATAATTTAAGTCATCTCTTTAGCATGTGTTTGTTTTCTTTTTCTTAGTTTGTCAATATGTTAGCAACAAGGAACAGAGACACAGTGCAGCAGTAGCACACTTTAGACACATTACAACAGCAGCAGACATGCCTGTGGCAGACACATGTCTCAACAATAGCAGCAGACCCACCTACTTGTTCAGCTTGAGCCACACACATTGACAGAATGATGTACCCACATTTCTGTCACTTTTAGCCGACACCTTCCAACAGTAGTGGAGACAAGTTATAGCACATGCCATAACAGCTCTCAAAATGCAGGTAGCCTAGTGGTTAAAGCGTTCGCTCGTCATGCCGAAGACCTGTGTGGGATTCTCCACATGGGTGCAATGTGTGAAGCCCACTTTTGGTGTCCCCAACCGTGATATTGCTGGAATATTGCTAAAAGCGACATAAAACCATACTCACTCAACATGCAGTCTTCACACTGACAGTAGGGGACTCGTTCCTACATGGGCGGATGCAACAAGGATTGATAACAGCCAGAACCGTGACACATTTCATGATTGACCAAGTTTCTGTCCCTAATTGATTTCTCAGAGTAGTTGCAGATCACTTTCCCAAGTGATACTCGCCTTTCCGACAATGGCAGCAGACTTTCCAAAGGATTCCAATAGTGCCATTCACATTTCCACAGGCATACATATTCCAATAGTGGTAGATACATTCTAGCGGACTCGCAGCGGCAGTTGTAGGTGCATGTTCCAGATGTGCCAACAGTCGCAAGCTCATGCTACATACATTTCACAAGTTCCAGGTGAACAACACATAAAAATAGTGAGAAGCTTAACATAGCATCATAACAAATTTCTTTTTCTTGGCTTAGTCTTCCTACAGTAGTGGCTGATATTTTTGTAGAATGTCTAGACCAAAAAGATAAATCCAGTCCAAGAGTCTGACTACTGATTTTTACATCAGCTTTGGGTAGCTGGAACCCCTACAAACATAACTGGAACCCTCTTTCTTGTCTTAACTTCATAAATGGAAGCTTGGTTTAGTTAGAGGAAGTAACCCCATATTACATGTATACAGCAGTCGAATTAAGAAATTCAGAAAATGTCATTCTGACTTCATTTTTTAGATGCACTATTAAACCAATCAGTTTAAATCTGAGAAGACTTATGGAATTGCACCTGAATGGAAAATCTCACTTTTCGAGTTGTGCTCCATGGAACACATACTTACAGTATTGGTTGCATCAGCCATGCTACACGGGGGAGAGAGAGAGAGATATAACGAGGTAGGTTGCAGGTGGTTGTAAATAGGCTGGATGAGAAGCAATGGCATGTAAACCAGGGAATTAAAAATTGTTCCTTATGAATTTTATTGTTTTGGTACATTTACATTTCTGGGATTAAAATAAGCCTCATTTTTCCCACAAGGGCACACACATTACAACTATGGCATTATTCCTATTCCAAAAATACCCGTGAGGATGAAGATCCGGGTTTGAATTGATCTTCAGCAACCCATGCTTGTCGCAAGAGGCATCTTGCAGGATCGGGTGGCCATCTGACTTGCTTGACGTGTCACCGTAGAACAATGCTCATGCTGTTGATCACTGGATTGTCTGACCCAGACTCAATTATTTACAGACGGCCATCTTATATCTGAAATATTGCCAAGTGTGGCGTTAAACAACGATACCATGCTTATTACAACCATATGCACATATCCGAACAGGCATATTAGTTAATCAGTAATGTGGTTAACATCACAACTTGCATCTGCTTAGAGAGGTGGTTATTGGTTCCATCCCTGCCACCTCCACCATACCAAAAGATGGTACTTAGCATTTAGGGGCTAAACAAATCCTGATCACTATTAAGTCCCACTTTCTCCAGGATGCTTAAATAACATCTTGCTGATCTCCCTTTACAATGGCTGCGGTCCCACCCACGTTTCAGGTGCCCCCAGCTCGATACAGCACATTTTAGAGTTTTTTTCTTTAGCCCCCAACTTCAGAGAAATTGAGAAATAGGTGAAATGCTGGAACATGTGAAAAAATATAACCTTGCCTCACCCAAACGACATGGATCACTTGTCATATGGGTTCAAGAAAGTTTTGCATGTACCCCTGCTTATCTCTTGAGTCCGGTTTATCTACAGTAATATCAGGGAATGAAACTTCCAGCCAGACCACAGGGCTGGTTGGATGTAAAACTTGCCAGCCCTGACCAAAACTTACCTGCCTGCAAATAATTTAGGTTTGACAAGCGACTTAGTTTATCATCCAACTGGAAGTGAATTATTAATGATTTATTATCCTGAAATATGATGAATATCTTCATATTCATGTCTAAAGTTTAACCCAACAGTCGGACAGGTGAATTTGAACCTGGCAGTCCGTGTTGAAAATAACCCATCCCGGGCGGTGGGGCAGGCAGGTATTTTGAACGCTGGTAATTATATGGTATATATGGGCGAAGTGTTGACCAGCTCTGGTGTCCACCATCCCTGAGGGTTTAAAACAACCAAACACCTCCACTCGCTTGTTGAGTTACACAAACCTTGTCCGTGGCATTCGCTCACATAGTACAAACAAAACACAGAAGTATACAACAGTAGGATTTATTCTGTTTGATTAGAGACAGTGATTACCCCACCACAAATTGTGCAACGTTTCACAAGATTCAATTATATCATGGATTTACAGTCAACAGCAACTCCTTTAACTAGCTCAAGGATATATAATCAATCTGCATACATACAGTCTTGGAATGAAAATAATGGTGTCCGACCTAGAGCATATAAACATTTCACAACACAAATATTTAATCCTGAACAAAACAAAAAGCTCCAATAGATTTAGGAAATTGTTGGTTTGTAGTATTTTCCAAAACATTAACACCTATGTCACAATCATATTAAGCATGTATTTTTTTAACAGTAACAAATCTGAACTTGTGCGACTATAAGTCCCATGTGTAATAACTTACATGATTTAGTACAACATATTCCAGTCTATGCTAGGGGTAAGACACCACGTGGTGCTGATGGCTCCAGTTGGATGTGACAGTTTAGCAAATAGCAGCTTATAGTCACTTGGCAATACCAATCACACCGCAGGCCAGTCGACCGCCAGCATTCCCTGTCTTCAAACTTTCCTCGTTGCCTCCCTTACCCAGGTCATCAACTCCAGCGTGGACCTGCAGAGGGGAAGTGTCAGATCAACATATAACATCAGGCAAATACACACATCACAATAGTGTGCTCATCATTGGGTGTGCATCATGTTCCATAATGTGAGTGAGTGAGTTTGTTTTACGCCGCTTTTAGCAATATTCTACCAATATCACAGCAGGCGACTCCAGAAATGGGTTTCACACATTATACCCATGTGGGGAATTGAACCCGGGCCTTCGGAATGACAAGCGGACGCTTTAACCACTAGGCTACCCCACCATATAATGCTTCACCAAAAACACCTTGAGAATTTTTGCTGCATGTGCTTGAATTACAATTCTAACACGTGAATCAGATCATTATCAGTGTAGAATTTTTTGTCTGTTGACGTAGTTTGTCATTTTCACTTGAAGAAACCGTTTAATCTCCTCGATGTTGATTTCAGAAATTGAAAGGTTGTGGGTTTTTTTAGTAACAGGAACACTTTACTTTTTGTCGTTGACCAATATTGGTGATATTCATAAGGCTAGAGTGTGTACTTGCACCTATACATAGTTAACATCATTGCACTAGAAGTGTAACTTTCTTGCTCATTTGAGAAACAGTACAGGGCTCGAAATTGGCTCACGGAAACGAAACGTAAGAAAAAAAATCATAAATATTTCAAAATATCAAACTACACCAGTTAAGCTGATGAGCAAATCATAAACCAAGATTTGCTGATTGCGGTTGTCAAGTAATGGCTCAGGTTAGGATGTGAACACTGGACACAATGGCAACACCAATGGGACTGGGCTTAAACATCGTCTCTCCTTCCTTTGAACGACATTGTTACAATCTGTGCTGAAACATCTGTGGCTTTCCACCCAAACGTGGCTCTTAGGATGACTTCTAACAGATTCTCAGCTCACAAGACATTGCAGGTTTACTAGTGACGAGAGTGGAAGAAGAATTCCAGATGACATCTGGGAGGGGTAATCACTAACATAAAATTTGGTTTCCTACAATGGAATTTGGAAGCATGGGGAGACAACTACATGGGTTATACTTTGACATGCATCTACACAGGCATTCACTTACAACTATAGTTACGACACATACATCTACACAGGCATTCACTTACAACTATAGTTACGACACATACATCTACACAGGCATTCACTTACAACTATAGTTACGACACATACATCTACACAGGCATTCACTTACAACTATAGTTACGACACAGGCATTCACTTACAACTATAGCTACGACACATACATCTACCCAGGCATTCACTAACATATATAATTCCGACACAGGCATTCACTAACAACCATAGTTCCGACACATACATCTACACAGGCATTCACTTACAACTATAGTTACGACACATACATCTACACAGGCATTCACTAACAACTATAGTTACGACACATACATCTACACAGGCATTCACTTACAACTATAGTTACGACACATACATCTACACAGGCATTCACTAACAACTATAGTTACGACACAGACATCTACACAGGCATTCACTAACAACTATAGTTACGACACATACATCTACACAGGCATTCACTTACAACTATAGTTACGACACATACATCTACACAGGCATTCACTAACATCTATAATTCTCCGACACAGGCATTCACTAACAACCATAGTTCCGACACATACATCTACACAGGCATTCACTAACAACTATAGTTAATGACGCATACATTTACACAGGCATTCACCAACAACTATAGTTACAACACAGGCATTCACTTACAACTATAGTTACGACACACACATCTACACAGGCATTCACTTACAACTATAGTTATGACACATACATCTACACAGGCATTCACTAACAACTATAGTTACGACACATACATCTACACAGACATTCACTAATAACTACAGTTCCGACACATACATCTGCACAGGCATTCACTAACAACTATAGTTACGACACATACATCTACACAGGCATTCACTTACAACTATAGTTATGACACATACATCTACACAGGCATTCACTACCAAGCATAATTCTGACACAGGCATTCACTTACAGCTATAGTTACGACACAGGCAGTCACTAACAACTATAGTTACAACACAGGCATTCACTACCAACTATAGTTTCAACACAGGCATTCACTAACAACTATAGTTACGACACAGACATCTACACAGGCATTCACTTACAACTATAGTTACGACACATACATCTACACAGGCATTCACTAACAACTATAGTTACGACACATACATCTACACAGGCATTCACTAACATCTATAATTCTCCGACACAGGCATTCACTAACAACCATAGTTCCGACACATACATCTACACAGGCATTCACTAACAACTATAGTTACGACGCATACATTTACACAGGCATTCACTAACAACTATAGTTACAACACAGGCATTCACTTACAACTATAGTTACGACACACACATCTACACAGGCATTCACTTACAACTATAGTTATGACACATACATCTACACAGGCATTCACTAACAACTATAGTTACGACACATACATCTACACAGACATTCACTAATAACTACAGTTCCGACACATACATCTGCACAGGCATTCACTAACAACTATAGTTACGACACATACATCTACACAGGCATTCACTTACAACTATAGTTATGACACATACATCTACACAGGCATTCACTAACAACTATAGTTACGACACATACATCTACACAGACATTCACTAATAACTACAGTTCCGACACATACATCTGCACAGGCATTCACTAACAACTATAGTTACGACACATACATCTACACAGGCTTTAACTAACAACTATAGATACGACACATACATCTACACAGGCATTCACTACCAAGCATAATTCTGACACAGGCATTCACTTACAACTATAGTTACGACACAGGCAGTCACTAACAACTATAGTTACAACACAGGCATTCACTACCAACTATAGTTTCAACACAGGCATTCACTAACAACTATAGTTACGACACAGACATCTACACAGGCATTCACTTACAACTATAGTTACGACACATACATCTACACAGGCATTCACTAACAACTATAGTTACGACACATACATTCACTACCAACTGTAGTTACGACACATACATTTACAGAGGCATTCACTAACAACTATAGTTCCGACACAGGCATTCACTTACAACTATAGTTCTGACACATAAGTCTACATGGGTATTCACTTACAACTATAGTTCTGCCAATGATTGATTTGACGCCTGTCAAACTTATGATCTTGTCATCGATCTTGATGTCTGCTACTCCAGCAGCGTTGGCAACAACGTTGCCAAGGTCACCAGCATGTCTGTGTAAACAAAAATATAACATGAGTCAGCTTACCGAGAAATATTCTCACAATTACATTAAAGACAACTTCAGGAATGTTTGTGACTGGCCACATATTATTTGCAGATTAAGTGGATATAAAATACATCCAGAATTGAGTTAATGCTGTATTCAATAGACGTAGACATGATTTAACACTATCAAGAATTGAGTTAATGCTGTATTCAATAATCAAGAGTTGACTTAACACTTCAATAAACGCAGAGTTGACTTAACACTTCAATAAACGCAGACATGATTTAACACTGTATTGAATACACCAAGAGATGAGTTAATGCTGTATTCAATACAGCAAACAATGGTGTGGTTCCAAATCGTGTTTCACAATATAAATGTACATATAGTTTGTTGCTTTTCTTTGATTTGTGGAGCTATGAATGTTAAACATGGGACTGGGAGTTACCACTGTGTTAGCACAAGGACTGAAATGTTGAACAGGGCAAGGTCGACCTAAGCTGGTTTTGTAGCTATTACAAGTAGTCAACGCTATATAACATGCATACTACTCAAGGAAGTTAAACCACATCCCATTCCTTCACATGGGTATAGCTGATCAATCCTGCCATCCTCTTATGAGTACCCACTCAATGTTAAAATATTCTTGTCTGCAGAAGTAATGCTGCCAAGCAGTCCCCTAGTTACCTATTTTCATCTTCTGGCGCTCCATGTGTCTTTCCGTGAGGGTTGAAGTGTGACCCGGCACTGACGCAGCCTGTCAACAAGTCACAATATCAACTTCCTTCACATAGGACAAAAACAAGTCACACAGTTGCCATAGTAAACACAAAAGGCACATAGAAAATTCAAAGAACTTTATATAGCAATAAAAATGGAACTGTATTGTTTGAAAGAGAATACAAGTTAAAGGAAGTATATTGAATATAAACTACTGAAAACAATAAATATTTAATAGCAATGATGAGGTCAGTTATATTCCATTCATTAGTGGCTCATTAATTAATTCCATGTTATAAAGATGGGTGTTTTTGGACTATTTGAGGGGATATAGTAAAATACATGCTAGCCAGTAACCATGGTAACATTCTTCCGCTGATCAAAGAAACCTTCAACTGTTTAAACAGCATATTCAAAATAACTACATCAACATGTGCACATCAATATCTAATATCTAACCAATAAGATCCCTAACAATTACCATTTGTGTCGTCTCCAAACTCGTGGACATGGAAGCCATGTAATCCCTCTGTCAGGCCGTTGATGGAGCCTGTTACATTCACTGGGCCGTCTGCATCCTGCCAATATGGTAATAGAAAGGTCAAGGTCATTATCTGTAATTTACACACTTGGGTCACTGAAAGATGAAAGTTAAAGTTTAAGATTTATGTTGACCCTAGATTCAAATACTATGGGAGGAAATATCAAAGACCTCCCTCTCCCCCAATAATTTCAAACAATGTTGAGTGTACAAATTTATTTCATTTTCAAATGGTGTAACCTGACTGCTTCAGCTGCATATCATGAAGCCTCCAATTTCTACTATTTGTATGGCTCCCGAGTGAGTGAGTTTAGTTTTACACCACTTTCAGCAATATTCCAGCCATCACAGCGGTGGACACCAGAAATGGGCTTCACACATTGTACCCATGTGGGGAATCAAACCGGGGCCTTCAGCGTGAACACTTTAAACACTAGGCTACCCAACTGCTTCTTATGGCTCCCGAACTTAAACCAAATCATTACTATGGACTCATTAATAAGAGTTCTTTCCCAGATCAATGTTCTACCTCATGGAGATTCGAGAGAGTACAGATCTCAAACAACCTACACTCGTCGCTAGTGAGGTGAAGCGAAATGGGGTTTAACGTCGCACTTAAGAATATTTCGCTCACATGACGACGTGCATCCGTGTGTATGTGTGGCAGCTTGTACTGGCCAAGATTTAAGCTGGTTTTATAGTGCTAGCCCACTGAGATACCATGACGCAGTTAAGCATGGATACCCCACTCAGACACAGCCGACCAGTCCTTGTTGTACCCATTAATGCCGAGTGCCAGGCAGGGACCAACAAGTGCCATATTTTAACGTCTTTTGGTATGACGCGGCCAGGGATCGAACCCGTGACCTTCCGTTCTCCGGGCGGGCCCTCTAACCACTACACCACGGAGGCGGTTTTGTCGCAAGTGGCAACTGACCGATAAGGTAGCCTGGCTTTGTGACGTGGCTCATAGTATCTCATTGGACTGAAGCTCATAATGTTGGCTTGGCAAGGGAGGAAAGACCGAGTGCTCATATGTTCACCACAGCATGGGTAAGGTGCCAACAGACATAGAAATCAGGGCAATCTGCGACCCAAACCCGGAATCATAGGTTTGGGGCATATTTATTGGCAACTCTACAAAGTGAATTCCAGTGCCACAAATGACAGGGGCACCCTTGCAAACTTTCCCCATGAAACCAGAAGACAGGTTGGCTAGATGCATGTTAGCACAGTCTCCTGACTGTTGTCGAGAAAATGAGGAACGTTTAGAATATGACCAGCTGGTGATGTTGGTTATTTACATGAAACCATTCTAGAAACACCTGTTACTAGTCCACTGTCAGGTAGTACATAGATCAAATAGCATCTTGTTATATATCATCATGTCAACTCCAAGCAGTGAGTCAGCACTTTCCATGCAGTGAGTCAATATATATGTCTATCTGCATAGTTCTTTGGTAGACAGTGAAAACAGGTGGATACATTCTACTTTAAAAAGTCCCAACATATGACATTTTGTTCCGGCATTACCGTTTTTAACTACTGTAGAACTTAATGCTCACAAAGGATCCATAATTACAATAATGTGCCAAACATATGCTGCGTTATAAAGTGTGAGATTGATCACCTGTAGTCAAGTTACATTATATGAGCATAGTCAAGGATGATTATGACATACATGTGGTATATCCAGGTATGTATCGTTACCTGGATAGTGGCCAGTACTCGGTGTATTCAGCATATGTCAGTAAAATGTGTTAACTAATGTTATTTCACAGGACTTGAATTTCATGGACAACAGGACCACTTATAGAGGAAGAGGCTTTATGCTAAGTTTAACATTATTTATTGAATGCAATGTTAAAATACCTTAGAATTTAGGGAAGTAATTACATTTACTTAAACCAAACAACTATTTTCCAAATTTGCCAGCCATGGGCACAATATTATTTTAGTATAGAACTCTCGTTAAGCCTCTAATATCTATTTCTGTTCCTCAATATCCTTCCCCCAACTTTGAGCAGCACCGAAACGAAAACAATTAGTGGTGGACCAAAACCGCATTTAGTCATAAGCATGTGTTTTTTTAAGAAACATAGGTAATGTACTGGTATATCAATTAAACATCACACAACCTGTAGCACAGTAACTTCTGTGAGTACCAAAGTAAGCATAATGATGCTGCTCGGGTGTAAGGTATGAGCAAATATTCCCATTTCAAAAAGATCTACCCACCTACTGCTCTCAAATATACTGGCTGAACGGATATGACTCAAGTCTCAACTCTCAATTCTAGATCGCATCCCTCAAACAAACTCAAACGTCATATTCAGTTAAATAAAGGGATGACAAACTTGCCCAAACCGTAATGTGACGTGGGTTAGCCAAAATTAAATCAAGGTCAAGTTAACTCGGTGGATGCGGTCTTGAAAAGTATATCGTTCAAGATATTAGGCCTTAGTTCACATGGTTTGCAAGAGCACTCTGACATTGCTATCTACTCTAGACAAATACAATGCTCGATAAGAAATACAAATTGTCACACTGCCTGCGAGAAGTGAATTGTTCCCTCCACTGTTGTTGCCCCTCTCAGCACACAAACTGCTTTTATAGACATGCTTCACGTGCAGAATTCCACCGAGTACCGCTTGTTGTGGACAAGACCTGTCGAGAAATGCACCGTAATGGTCGCCGAAGTGCCGTGTGCAAATCAAACAGGAACGGCGTCAACACTATCCAGTAATTTTGCTTCGTCAATAACGCGCGCGCGTCTATTCTAGATGGACATTTGAGCAGTTTTCTGATAATCATATTTATTTAAACACACTTTTCAGAGACTACAATAAAACGCTCAATCGGAGTTATTTCCCCTTACTACGAGATGATTTGCCTCCCTTTGCCTACATTCATTTTTACATGCAACTTTACACCAAACTGGCATGGTGATATCCATCGGTCGACAGAAACCATCTGTTACCAAAATTTATGAAACGCTGGTGAAAAACAAGAAATAAGTAAAATAAAATACTCAAAATTATTTGCGATCATCGGCGATTATTCCGAGTGTATATAGCTTCATTCTTCTATTTTTATGAACATGATTTATTCGTTTTGCGCCGGGTTCCATTTGGACACCAGAAAACAAACAAGCAATCAAATTACCCATACAGGTGTGTGTGTGCGTGCACGCGTGCGCGTGCGTGTGTGTGCGCACACTTCACTTTCTCGAGAGTTTCATGGTGATTTAATAAACTTTCAGGACTAAAGGGCGCTGGGGTGAGGTGGGGTGCACAACCCTGCAAAAAAGAATCAAAACCAAAAAAAGCACACACACACCCTCTGGATCCGCCTATTCAATATTCCAGCAATATCACAGTGGGGGACACAAGAAATGGGCTTCACACATTGTACCCGATAACCTCCCAAACCCCCTACATCCCATAACCCCTACAGTTTATAACAACAAAGTTCATGGTCCAGTGCACTGCTGATCTCCTGCCTGTTACCTATTTCATACAGTGGACCAGCCCAAACACTTAGCAATTGAGAGAATGATTTTAATGAGCAATAACCAAACTAAGAGTTTGAGAGAATGGTTTTATTGGATGATAACAAAAACAAAAATTTAATAATATTGAACTTCTGGTTTAATTCTGGGCTGTAGGGGTTTACTGAAAGAGCTTGTTTTGGAGACACTACCCAACCCCTTTCAGGTAACCTAATCATAAGGACATAATTTATTCTCATATTTTCACTTATTCATAATCAAACCAAATACTGAATGGTCACACAAATCTCAGCTCTCAATATATTGTAAACAGTACCAGCTTGAATAGCTGGACACAGTTTTTGAAAGATTACAATAGGGGTGTCCTTGAAAAACAGCCCCCTTCTAAATGTAAGTGAAACAATCCAAATCTTTGATTGTTGATTATGACGGGTAGTCATCCAATAATATACTGAACATATTTTATATGACATTACCTGAGGGCATGCCATTATCCAAGAGGTACCAAATGACAGATCGTTTTTCATTTTTTGTAATTTTTAAAAGAAATGCGATACCCCAATTTGTTGTGATATGTGAAATTTTGGATATAGCTGTGTAATATAATTTCTTCAAAATAAAATGGAAGCTTTTCAAACATTGGACATCGCGAATATAGTTAGGCTGACTACTTTTTAAACGCCTCTCGTATATACCGCCCAAAATAATTTCAAATTATTTATCTCAGTTTACTATCTTCAACACTATTACAACTGATATTATTACGATTTGAAAAATATGTCTACTCACTATGTACATCAGGAAGCTAAAAGCTAGTTCAATATCTAATTCATCTCAATTATTTAAAATGGATTGTTAAACCCTAATAACAAACACACAATCTCAATCCCTTCTCAAACCACCCTGTAATCTCTCCTTTTTGGTCAGTATATTATGCCAGACAGGTAAATGCCGCGTGTTGTTTTACCTAATTGTAGGGGTAGTGGGCTGTAGGGGTTATGGGATGTAGGGGTTTTGGGAGACAACCTTGTACCCATTTTGGGGAATCGAACCTGGGCCTTCTGCGTGACGAGCGAACGCCTTAACCACTAGGCTACCCCACCGCCCTCATAATTAGTGGTTTGGATAGTTTAAATGTAGTACACTGATGTCCTGTATGTTGTAAGACTTTTACAGGCCAAAGCCACGATATCCTCAACTGACTTGGCAAACTGACCCTCAAAGTTGGCCATTTGTCCCTCTGCATTTTTCGCTTTATTCAAATATTCACCTGGCTACGACACTGTGGACGAGAACACACCACCCGCAGGGTAGGCATACTATTTATATTTGAACTTGTTTCCTAAGTGTACACTGTGCACACACTTAGGGGTGTTTGTCAAGGCTCGATATTCTCTGTCCTACTACATCTTCATAAATTCTTTCAATATAACTTGTCGACATGCAGAGAGAGATGGGAGAGCCAGTGTGATCTAAGCTGGTTCCCGACTCCTTTTGCGCGCGCCACCTTGTGATATGCCTTATTACAGTGTGCCTAAGCTGGGCCCCGTCTCGCATATCGCAATAATTTATACACCGCTAGCGAGCGCAAAGGGAGCCGGGAACCAGCTTACAATGTGCCTTACAATAACATGACGTCATAGAGTGTTATTGTTACTATTAAACATTTATGACGTAATGCATGGTGATGCTGACGTCACAAATGTGTATTTCCTGTTTCATAACAGTTGTGAGTTTGATGTGCAAAATGTCGAGTGACCTAGGAATGAAATGAGTGTAGTGTTTCCACACAGAAGGAGAGAATTCTTGGCTCCGTCTAAAGCCCTCCAAGATCTGAAAGAAAAACTCGGTCCTGTATATTTTGATGCGAAATTGATTGAATGTCCTCAAAATGCAGTTGAACTCGCAAAGCTGTTACAAAAGTTGGAAGAGCTTGATAAACAGAAATTCAAGAAGTTGTCCGAAAAGTCCAGGGAACAAAGAGTTTTACAGAATTCCTTATCTTCAAGGTTTGTTGATACAGGCGCCATATATAGCTAATGCAAATTTATTTACATTTACCGGACATGTCGGGCGACATGCATATCCCTGATTAGTGTCCTTCGTATCCACTCTGGGTAATAACCCGTTAGACCACCCCTTCACATCTCGCATGAGAACTAAACCAAGAACGATCAGTTGAAAAGTAATATACCAATCTATGCACAAATTACCTGGCACAAAGCCTTCGAATCCAGTATCATTGAAAACACCCATATCTTTAACCCCTGTACCATTCCACATACATCGATCTTCTTGTACTTAGACACGATCAGTTGCAAAATTATACACAAAACACTTTAATCATCATCAAAGTGCATCCTTCCCAGTCACGTAATCGGAAATATTTGACTTCAGCAACCCATCACTGTATATGTCACATCATGATGAGGGCAGCAGAAGTTGTTACTATCAACATACACGCTTCTTGTGCCTCGTCTAACCCCTTGTATACCACAGGGGCGTTTTTATCCCTCTATAACACTCACTTTCTCGTCCAATCAAATTGATACTAAAGCATGCAAAGGAATACACAATACTGTTTGGAATTCTGAAGGAAATTAACTGTTCTCCAATAGTTCTGTCATTCTAGGCAAAGCTCAATTACTGAAACGACTTCCAAAATAAGATACGGTATATTGTGCTTTCTCAGTTTTCATTTTGCAGTTGAATAACGTTTTGTCGCACTGTAATTTATGGGCACGGCACAAGCTGGTGAAATGTCAGCGTTTGATACCCACAACAAAATCAAAATATCGCGCAGCCGTATCTGTTTTTGAAACCAGTTTAATATTTGCAGTTACGTTGTCAGACTCTCAGACAGGAAATATTCCGTTTACATCACTGCGTAATTATACAATCAGAGGATTTCGGACCAAAGTGTCGGCCCGATAAGGTAGTTACATGTAAATACATTGCTATATAATTGACTGACATTACATGATCGCACAAAAAGATGGAAATAGTAATTTTATATGTACGTCTGACAACTTTTATGAATGTGCGCCTCACCCCTCTGCTGGATCCGCCCCTGTTTATGATTAACTTGTAGTGTCAGTCAACAGGACGTATGGAATTCCCTACTGTAGTCCGAGACTCTTGTAGAAATGGTACATACTCTACAGTACGATTCTAGCATATTAATCCGTTGCATTTAGAGTGTTGTTTTTCTCATTACAGTTTTTGCTTTGACATTTCATTGTTTCATTATTCGTATTACAAAACGTCTAATTTTTGTCAACCTCTTTTGTCAGTTTAACGAAATGCAACATGTTTACCACGTTAATGAACACCTGTCTCTCAGGTATGTCAACGTCAAGGACGCGTCTTCTGTCTCCTTGCTGTCTTCCTCCTCATCGGTCAAGAGTTTCTCTGAGATCATCGACCAGAAGAAACTACCACCTGGCTTCCGATTCCACGCAAATGGTGACCCGAAGTCGGGGGTCATGGTGCAGGACGGAGACGCTGTCGACTCCAGGACATCCATCACGTCACGGTTCGCGCTTTCAGAGAAGAAGGATAACACCTGGAGAGATGATGACGCTGTCGACGTCGACGATGACAAACAGGACGGTGAAGCATCTGCAGAGAGCAAGCCACGTGACCCGGGGTATGAAGAGGTAGGGTTGTTTCACACTGATGTTCCAGGAATAAAAGGCAGCCACCTTATAGTCAACGTGGTGTAAGATTAAATTTAGAGACAACATTTTGCATTATCTCATGAATATTTCTGAATGTGTGTATTCGAGTGCCTACCAACTCCTGTTAAGGATTATGCTCATTTTTCTAGAGATAATGAGATAATGGATTTGAGACTGACGCCGTCACTGAGAAATCAAGAATCTTCCAGTCGTTAAATGGTTTCTGTTTCACAGACAACGCCAGTGCTGTCACTATCCCGGATCCGATAAGACACCTGATCTTGTAAAACCAATACTGTGTATTCTGAGTGGAATATATGTCCACAGTAAGTGAGTATGGTTTTCCGGCCGCTAGGAACACTATTTCTGTGTATATAAAGTTTAGTGAAACCCGGAAGCACGGCTATTGCCCTGGCTATCCTATTACTAGGGCATATACAAGCGTTCTTATTGTACTTCCAGATTGATTATAGTCATGAAATTGAAGAACTGGAGATGGTCATCATGCAGTTGGAAGCGCAGCTGATCTCTCAGTCAGACAAATCCACAGTCTCGGACGACGAAACAGTGTCATCTAAACACAACTTCCTCCGCGCCCACTCCCACTCCGGGGAAATCTTCGAGTCGTGCCTGAACCGGACGTCCGCCAACTATGCCTATGATCCCGAACAACAGTCCCGACGGGACAAACGGAATGTCAGTCAGCCAGCCGTCACTAGATTCAAGCCATCAGTAGCGAAGACGTCAGGGTGTCTTGCGTGCCAGTTTAAGCTGAAGCATGTAGGCAACGAGTTCTTCAAACCAAAGGACAAGTGCTTCACAAAGGAGAGATGGCATATCGCACCATCAGGCTGTTTTGTCGCCAGCCCCAACATTTCAGCCACATCCAGTCTCAGACTCATAGAGCAGACCCAGCAAAGTTGTGAGTCAAATCAACTGTCGGGACCTTCCAGTAGACAGCCCATCAAGATACTCCCAAGACGACATGAGAGCTCCCCCTTATTCAGCAACGACATCAGTTTGACGACGTCCGACAAGTCACCAAGAAAGCGCCGAGACGGAACCCGGTCTCACACAAGCAGCATGACGTCCAACATGTCCTCCGGAAGGCACCTGGACGGAACGGTGTCTCATACAAGCAGCATGACGTCCAGGGTGCTCTCGGGAAGGCGCCTGGACGACGCCCAGTCTCACACAAGCGGCGGCCAGGCGCCCCGCAGGCTGCCAGAGGGTTTTCTAGATCGAGCCGAGTCTAACACCAGTAGACGGGTGTTGTCGAAGGACCTGAGTCGGGGCTCATCCACCTTTGGTTCAACGTCAAGTGACCGTAGATTCTTGTCACCACTACAGAAGGAGTCGAAGATGCAGATACTCCGGTCACAAGCGGTTTGTACAAACTGTTCTGTATAGCAATAGTGCTTAGGGAACAACTATTTGATATCTAAATAGTGCATGCCGTGTGATTAAATAATCTATGCCCACTGTAGTCCATCCCCGTATTTCTTACACATCTCTGTCTGAAATACCAGTAAAAGATATAGAGAATACTACACGAGGTCTCATTACATACGAATTATACGAAACGAGTGTCCTTCCTATGGTATCTGACCGAGCGAAAGCGAGGTCAGATACCATAGGAAGGTCAAGAGTTTCGTATAATTTGTATGTAATGAGACCGAGTGTGGTATTTTATTTATTACCCACGTCTTACATGCATTAAATTGACAAAATAGCGTATTTTTGTTATGTTTTTTGGTTTCAAACCGAAACCGGTTCCATAAAGAGGTTGCGGAAGAGTTTGGTACTGTAGTACAATATTTGCATGACGTCACACTGTAATGACGTAACTGCCTTGGTAACCGACGTCACGATGCATGTAAGTTGTCATCGCCTCGTACAGCCTCCTACAGTAAACGGGGCGGTGGGGTAGCCTAGTGCTTAAAGCGTTGGCTCGTAACGCCGAAGACCCGGGTTCGAATCCCCACATGGGTACAATGTGTGAAGCCAAATTCAGGTGTCCACCGCCGTGATGTTGCTGGAATATTGCTAAAAGCGGCGTAAAACGAAAACTCAGTCAGTCCTAAAGAAAACTACTCCGTAGCACCTCGTTTCTTGGTTTCCAGTTGCTTCATTCGGCTAACATCACTGGTGGAAACATTGCGTTTATGTTTTTCTACGGATATAATGTCTCAGTTCGACTCACAATTAAACAGCGACACGGCAACGTTCACAATGTTTACATTCCCACAATGCATTGAAGTTGTAGACTGAATGAATTCACGTGTTTGTTATGAATGAAAAAATAGTTATGTCAGAATGTGACCTAATTGAGAGGTCATCGGTTATCCAATCAAATCGTTAGAATCTCAGGTCAAGTCGTTACGACACTCGTGTGACGTACGAGATAAGAATGCAACTACCCATACGTTGACCTCGTGGGTAATAAGAGATGGTACCTGATCAGGGATCAGTATGTGAGGTAAACCGCAGCAGCTAGCATAATAGAAGTTGTCAAACCTCACCTAACCTCACATCGTCTCTCCTGACTTACTAATCAAACAACTTTAACCGTGTTTATCACATTGGCATGTTCACAATGCAGCATACCCTTTGTTTGGGATTACACAAAGTACAGATTGTAATACCTTTTTGGCCAGCTGAGCTGTCAATTTAGACTTGTCAGAGGAGTACGCAACGGGCCTGACTGAGAGTGTGGGTTCGAATCCTGGACGTCACACACACACACACACACACACACACACACACACACACACACACACACACACACACACACACACACACACACACACACACACACACACACACACACACACACACACACACACACAAACTTATTAGAATCTGTGTAGCATATCTTAAATTTGATCACTTTCACTCGCAATGTGTATTCATGTCCAAAATACCACCTTGTGTACATACAGGCCTCTACTGACGAAGACCGCCTCCGTGGTGTAGTGGTTACAGCGTCCGCCCGGAGTGCGGAAGGTCGCGGGTTCGATCCCCGACCGCGTCATACCAAAAGACGTTAAAATATGGTACTTGTTGGTCCCTGCCTGGCGCTCGGCATGAATGGGTACAACAAGGACTGGTCGTCTCGGAGTCAGTATAATGTGTCTGAGTGGGGTATCCATGCTTCACTGCAGCATGGTATCTCAGTGGGCTAGCACTATAAAACCAGCTTCAGTCTGGGCTAGTACGAGCAGCCGCACATACACATACACACGCATGCACGTCGTCATATGAGCGAAATATTCTCAAGTACGTTAAACCCAATTCCACCATCACCACCACCACCACCACCACCACTACTGACGATGGGCAATGAATCCGAGTATGTTATCATTTAGCATGACTAACAACTTCATTTAGCTAACATGACTATATAATGAGGTATTCCCCTATCATCCTTCTACTGTCGCATTATAGGTGAGCTATGTCGGGGTTAGAGTTTATATTTTCCCCCTGTATTTTCAGGTACGGGACACACACGACTGCCAGCAAAAAGTTGATGCTTTCATAGACAACCTGAAAAGTCACAACAAACTGACTAAATCCAAACACCGCTGGGAATACAGCTGACGTCCGACATCCAACGACGCTCAACACACAACCATTGGGTATGCTGGTCACACACCAGTCGTATTCAGACGGCGATCTGAACTGGAATATTGGCGTTAACCAGCTGAAATTAGGGCATGCAGCATTGTTTATGTGGGTTATCTAGCGGGATAGACTGGCTTTGCGCCTTGTTTACACGACGCTAGGTCACGAGGTTCTGTCTCTACGACTGGAGTCATCTGGTAGCATGCATGTCAAATGAAGTCACTGGTGTCAATAGTTACAATAAATTAGTTTTTATTTGGGGGGATTTCTGAGGGTTTTTCTGATTGCAATCGTCGAAAACATAAAATAGAGTACTGTTAGTTTCAACATGATGCAGAAGATAGAATATAACCTGAGAAACGTTTTATGAAGTATTTTAGTCGAATAAAATGTAATAAATGTTTAAATCATTTCCTTCGAACGATCAAACAAGGAGAAATAAAAAGAGTCTTGTTTCTCGAGATTATTTGCAGTGGTAATTCAAAATACGCCAATGATTTGAATATATTTTATGAATTCTATTTTGGAAACAAAAAAATGCTTCTACTCCAGCAGTTCCATTCTTCGTACATTACATACACATCAAAGACGTTAACACGATCAACAACCAATCCGTGTAACAGTGCATGGCTGACTAGTATATAACATTGCTTCATATGATGCCTGTCGCAAGCGTATTACACATGGTTGCACAGCGGGACAGTCACCTGTAGGACACTAGCGTGGTGGTCAGTCTCAGGTTGGTTTTCACATTTATTACAGTTATCATTATCGTTACTATAACTATGTCACGCTGGTCGTCTTGTGTATGTATAGACGCGAGCTTATAGTGGGACCCAAGGCGCCCTTACTACAGTTATCATTATCGTCACTATAACTATGTCACGCTGGTCGTCTTGTGTATGTATAGACGCGAGCTTATAGTGGGACCCAAGGCGCCCTTACTACAGTTATCATTATCGTCACTATAACTATGTCACGCTGGTCGTCTTGTGTATGTATGACTCAAGCTTATAGTGGGACCCAAGGCGCCCTTTCATTCGGCGATCATAGAACCAACAGTGTCGTACATTGGAACACTTCAGTCCTTGTATGAAAGGGCTCACATACTCTGTGGCTCGTTTGTGGTTCGTGCTGCGACCTGGCCCAGTGAGTGCATGTTGTGTAAGGCCACATTCACCGTTATTATTCATATACCATTTTTCTGATTTTCGCGCCAACCTGGTATCTTCACAATCCTTTCAGTGCATGTAATTTAGATGTTTACTTCAGTTTTATTCTATTTATAATATTTTTTGCTTATAAAACCATGACTCAAATGGTGGCACTAAAGGATGTTTAGGCGGGTGTCAAAACCAGCTGGAATATAACATCTAGTCCCACACAGAGACGTGATACTGAGGCTAAAGTACGATCCCCAAGGCCACCAACTGTACTCCCCTTCTTGCTAAGTTTCGTAATGTTTTCGAGTAAGAATTTTGATTAATAACGGCCAAATAGCAAATTCTTGTAACACATGTTATATTTGGGGTTGCACTTTCTCAGTAAAGTACCGATCCTGGTACTTATGTTATGTTGAGTCCCATCCGGGAATCCACACGCTCAGAGTCAGGCACCTAATCGCCAGCAGGTAGGTTACCTGGCTGACTTAGTCTGTCTCTGAAAGTGTTGGTTCGCCATCACAGCTTCCGCAAAAAGTGGAAGTCGGACAAAACATCAACACTACAACATACTCCCAGCAAAACCAAGGGGATAACTTCTACTTTCTCTTGATATTGAGATTGCAATGAGGATTCTAAAGAGTATCATGCGACTCTTGCCCAAAAGGTGGCTTCCATCAGGGTTACAGCATTCACGGCCTAAGAAAAGCTTTGACATGTTTGATGATAGTCACGTGGAGGACAGTTCGAAATGATGGTGAGCACACACAACGCCGGTCACTCTCCTCACAAATGTTTGCAAAGACAAGTAAGTTATTCACCTTCCATGTGGTGAAAAGGGAATTGGTTTTGGCCGCTGATGCGTCACATTTGGAATTGTCCTTCACAGATCAGCCATAAAACCTTATGATCAGGCTCGGTGACTTGATCGACAGCGTGTCCTTGTAGATCGTCGGCGAGAATTGTTGCTCAAAATGGTGGTGTGTGGTCCTGTGCATAGATCTCAGTTGAAGTTAAGTAACGTTCCGAGAAAATGGGTACCCGGTGGATAAGACATGAGACTATTAACCTTCAAGCGCCTCACACGCAGCTTGGGTTATCCGGGGTATTAATAATTCTGCCCTGCGAGCATGCTGTTGGTGTGGATTTAGCACAATATGAATGGACTAATTATTATTATTTAAAATAACAATCGTAGGATTGTTTGTTATAAAGGTGCTGCATAAAACATATACAAACAAATGTTTTAGTAACAAGCAACAGCTGACACTATGGATCGCTCAGTCAGGCTTGGGGATTTGTTAGGAATGACTGGTTCAAGTTGTATAATCAGTCACATGCTATCGTTACGTGTTTCCCCAGCTGAAACCATGCAGTCCGAAATCTGTCCGTCAAAGAACTGTGCAAAACCAGCAAACGGCAAGGCAATGTGATATAATTAACATTTGTATTCTTAAATTAACTAACTTTACAAATTAATACAAATCACTACACAGGTATTAGAATGGCAAAGGTAATATAACACGCAAGCAGTGAATATAGCATTAAGACAGATTGTAATATTCACATCACTGCAACAATAATATCTTCCATACTCCCCACCCACCCACCCCAACTGTGCAGTGCTCTACACTTGGTACATTTGTAACACAATGAAAAACACTGCCACGTGACACTATCGTAATGTACCTAGAATATAGCTGATTGCCACAACAACACACATATATTTCTAAGGTTTCGAGGAAAGGTCATCAGCTTCCGCCATCCCCGATTATAACTGACAGACCGCTAGCTGGAATCACGCTAGGTTGAGCAGGTAACAAGTAGCACGCTAGTCCGCCCTGCTCTCTCACCTGTCAATGCTGCGAACAAGGAGCATCTATATATAGACATATATATGACATCCACTGAACACCTGAACACAACGGAGAAGCAATAACGTACTGCATAATATATCGTGTTTTCCATTCGGTTTTGTTTAATCACTGTTGGTTAATATCGTGGTGAGTTTTATTAACATCTGTATATCACCAGCTGTTGCCATGGCATGTGAGGGCTCACTGACAACATGGGTAGATCCAACATCACGGCAAGCAATGGAAATTGGTCACATTGAAAGCTTGCAACCAATTTGTGATTTAATAGTGTTTTTCCCCCACTGCACAGAAGGCCTGGCATTATCCAGGGTGTGTCTCGAGTCTTCCTAGTCCGACTTGGAGCTGCTTATGTGGGACCCTTCCGTTGATGTGAGCAAACGAAAGATAGTATTGGACGTATGTTATGTTGTGTACATATTGTGGTTCCAAAGGATGCGACTCGCTGCTACACAGAGACGGATTTAGTTGCTCTTACTGTAAGTTGACTTACCTGTGGTGTGCCCGTCTGAACTCCAACAATGACTTACCTGTAATGTGCCCGTCTGAACTCCCAACATTGACTAACCGTTAGTGTGCCTGTCTGAACTCCAACATTGACTTACCTGTGGTGCGCCCGTCTGAACTCTAACATTGCCTTACCTGTTGTGTGCCTGCCTGAACACCAACATTGACTTACCTGTTGTGTGCCTGCCTGAACACCAACATTGACTTACCTGTTGTGTATCTGTCTGAACTCCAACATTGACTTACGTTGTGTGCCTGTCTGAACTCCAACATTGACTTACCTGTGGTGCGCCTGTCTGAACTCCAACATTGACTTACCTGTGGTGTGCCTGTCTGAACTCCAACATTGACTTACCTGTGGTGTGTCCGTCTGAACTCTAACATTGCCTTACCTGTTGTGTGCCTGCCTGAACACCAACATTGACTTACCTGTTGTGTATCTGTCTGAACTCCAACATTGACTAACCGTTAGTGTGCCTGTCTGAACTCCAACATTGACTTACCTGTGGTGCGCCTGTCTGAACTCCAACATTGACTTACCTGTTGTGTGCCTGTCTGAACTTCAACATTGACTTACCTGTGGTGTGTCCGTCTGAACTCTAACATTGCCTTACCTGTTGTGTGCCCGTCTGAAATCCAACATTGACTTACCTGCTGTGTGCCTGTCTGAACTCCAACATTGACTTACCTGTTGTGTGTCTGTCTGAACTCCAACATTTACTTACCTGTAGTGAGCCCATCTGAACGCCAACGTTGACGTACCTGTAATGTGCCCGTCTGAACTTACCTGTGGTGCGCCCATCTCAACTCCAACATTGACGTACCTGTTGTGTGCCCATCTCAACTCCAACGTTAATGCTTCCTCTGTTATGTGACTGAGTTCAGACAGGGTCCTGCCGTAGCACGGTAAGGCTGTGACGTGTGGTATCTGAAGTAAAGAAGGGTTCAGATGATTTCCAGTGATCATATCATATACCTTTCACAGCTATTTGTCCCTCTACACCTAACGCTAGTTGGTTTTGAGGACAGTCAAGACTGGGTATTCTTTTACACTGACATTCTGTATTTAATCAGATGAAGTGTTGTTGCGGACGTATACTGACGATGTTCCGTGTGTGTGTGCATGCTGTCGACGTCAAGGGCGAGGCAGGGACCGCCAGTCTTCACATTATACTCCATGACGACTACGGGGAAGCGTCAGAGAAGGTGACTTTACACAACATCCTTCATGCCGACATGACACCGGGGAGAGGACACATGTTTGAGACCAACATCCAAGTCAAGAAAGGCCTGTCCAAAGTGCTACGGAGACTGGAATTGTGGCGGGACAAGAGCGAGCCACTCACTCAGTGGTTTGTGGAGAAGGTGGCACTGAGTGGACATGGGACTCAGACTCTGTTTATCTTTCCTATCTTGAGATGGTTGAAGGCGGACACTCACTACCTGTTCAAGAACGCGGACATATGTTGTCCCCCTCAAGATGACCAGCTGCTTGAACAGAGGCAGATTGAGCTGGAGGAGACGAGGCAAGTCTACACTGCTGTCGCCACAGATCCGTCACTTCCGGTTAAGGTACGTATTTGGAACCAAAGCAACTGTCCAACTTGAGAATGTTGTTTAAGGCTCATCGTGTAAGGCTCCTAGTCTAAGGCTCCTCGTCTAGAGGTAACTCCACTTGAGGCCAGTGCGTTTGGAGACGTCGTCAATAAGTGTTAGTTTTCGTGTTTGTCTGATCCTTGTTGGGAAGCGTGGTGGTAAAAGTGATGACTATGAACCTCAGTAGGGTAGGGCTAATTCACGTACATTTGTTAATTATGTCATTGCCTCATTGAAACCGTATTCCAGTAATAAAGAAAGAATGTGAATGAAGGGCAGATCGACCACTACATGGTGGTGTGTAGAGCGCAGGTCACGAATCAGTTGAAGTTAAGCAACGTTGGGCACGGAGAGTCGTTGGATGGGTAATCGTGTTTGGCAGCTTAACTCCTGAGAGTTTCTAGGACTTCAGTCCTGCTCCACAGCGAAGCACATGTGATACATGTGGTCTCACCTTAGGCAAGTGAGTTTGTTCACACTTGCGTCTGTTCACCCAGCGGAAAATGGGTACCTGATGGGATATCACGTGACTATAGCTTTCTAGCGCACAACAGACAGCTTGGGTTATCCGGGGTAATAATAATGAGAGTGTAGCGCTTTGAGCATCCCCCTCCGTGGTGCGGAATTCAGCGCATTATAAATGCCCTCATTATTATCATTATCAGATCGAGTTTGTGTTGAGAAGTTAGATAATGGAAATGTGTTCCTGCCCCTCTGACCACTATCCCTGGTGTATGTTATTTTGTGTGTTGGTTCAGGAATATTGTAGTTGCTGTATATGTCATTCACAGGCTGCAGGACTGCCGGACGATGAAGTGTTTTCCAATGAACTGAAGGTAATGGATTACACAATAAGATTTACGATAACGCATGTGAACCTAAGTGGTGTTGAATTATCCGTTTGTTGGATATTTGGAGAATATTAGCCGAGTGTGTTTTTATATCCTGAAAATAATATATGTTATGAATAACAATTATCCTTACTCACTCGTATTTATTCATAGCACCTGTCGGGATGGAGCCTACTGAAAACACTTCTGATCCTTCATTTGAATATATATATATATAAATATATAATATTCATTTGAATATATAAACATCCAATAGGTCCCGGGGAAGTCCCTCACGCTGATGCCAACATAGGAGGTGGAGCAGCTTTGTGGTTACATCGTTAGTACGCTGTTCTGAATTTACATGTTTCATTTGACATTGAACTCTGCAGATAACCTGATGCTGATTGACTGACTCAGGTGGGGTAAGTTCTAACACCGTATATAAGTCTTTTATTCCTAGTACAGGCCACAGGTCCATACACGGAGAGAGAACATTCACAATGCATCAATTAGCTTACAAAGGGGACCGCAAAAACTTGAATGATATTACACGTACATATTTCGAATTATTTGAATACATATGTTAGTTATGCTTATAGTGGTTTGAAAGTACTGCTGTATGACGTGCTGGGTACATCATATCTTCACAGAACTCGTTTGACCTGGAGAGGGCGTTTGAGAAGTTGAATGACAGACTGGCATGCTGGAGTACGGACAGTTGGGACAGCATCAACGACATCGGTTGTCTCCATCAGTCACTGGATATAGAAGAACCGCAGGTAAGATCAATCAGTGGGCATTGAGGAACCGCAGGTAAGATCAATCAGAGGACATAGAGAAACTGCAGGTAAGATCAATCAGTGGGCATAGAGAAACTACAGTTAAGATCAATCAGTGGACATAGAAAAACTGCTGGTAAGATCAATCAGTGGACATAGAGAAACTGCAGGTAATATCAATCAGTGGACATAGAGAAACTGCAGGTAAGATCAATCATTGGGCATAGAGAAACTACAGGTAAGATCAATCAGTGGGCATAGAGAAACTGCAGGTAAGATCAATCAATGGGCATAGAGAAACTGGAGGTAAGATCAATCATTGGGCATAGAGAAACTACAGGTAAGGTCAATCAGTGGGCATAGAGAAATTACAGGTAAGATCAATCAGTGGGCATAGACAAACTGCAGGTAAGATCAATCAGTGGGCATAGAGAAACTACAGTTAAGATCAATCAATGGACATAAAGAAACTACAGTTAAGATCAATCAGTGGACATAGAGGAACCGCAGGTAAGATCAATCAGTGGACATAGAGAAACTGCAGGTGAGATCAATCAGTGGACATAGAGAAACTACAGTTAAGATCAATCAGTGGACATAGAGAAACTGCAGGTAAGATCAATCATTGGGCATAGAGAAACTACAGGTAAGATCAATCAGTGGACATAGAGAAACTACAGTTAAGATCAATCAGTGGACATAGAGAAACTGCTGGTAAGATCAATCAGTGGACATAGAGGAACCGCAGGTAAGATCAATCAGTGGACATAGAGAAACTGCTGGTAAGATAAATCAGTGGACATAGAGAAACTGGAGGTAAGATCAATCAGTGGACATAGAGAAACTACAGGTAAGATAAATCAGTGGGCATAGAGAAACTGTAGGTAAGACAATCAATGGGCATAGAGTAACTGGAGGTAAGATCAATCAGTGGCCATAGAGAAACTACACTCAGGAGGCAGTACCGTGAATAGGAAAACTGCAGTTGGCACAATCACTGGTTACAGAAGAGATGCAGGAAGGCACAGTTAGCCGGCACAGAGAAACCCCAGGTAGGAGCAATCAGTGGGTAGAGTACACAACAAGGTATTGACCTGTTTTGCGTTGCTATCATCGCTCCATGTCTGTATAATGCAAAAAGTAAAAGTAGTGCTATATAAAAGAAAGATGTCCTTTGTGAATACTATGCTCTGTGTAAGTGCAAATGATCTGTGTCCCTCACAGGGTGTCTCTCACTGGCAAGAAGACTGGTACTTCGGCCAGCAGCGTCTCTCTGGCTGTGACCCCACCCACATCCGTCTCTGCACCCAGATCCCTGACAAGTAAGTAATGACCCCACCCACATCCGTCTCTGCACCCAGATCCCTGACAAGTAAGTAATGACCCCACCCACATCCGTCTCTGCACCCAGATCCCAGAAAAGTAAGTTCTGACCCCACCGACATCCGTCTCTGCACCCAGATCCCTGACAAGTAAGTTATGACCCCACCCACATCCGTCTCTGTACCCAGATCCCTGACAAGTAAGTTCTGACCCCACCCACGACCGTCTCTGCACCCAGATCCCTGACAAGTAAGTTCTGCTGATGCCAACTATATTTGTTTTCAGGAATGAACTATTTGTTTAAAGATATTCGTATGAAGAATGTTGCAGTAGCAGTAATATTCACCAGTGACGAACAGGTATTCCTATATTCCCTCATTGTTATCTCCCCTAGACTGGCTGTGACGGAAAGGATGCTGTTGCCCATGCTGGAGGACCACGACCTTGACAGCGTCATTGTCGAGAAGAGGCTCTTCATCATTGACCACTATCTCCTTCATCACCTTCAGCAGTGCAATGGAAGGGTGGTCAGTGACATCGCAGAAACACTTTTAGCGAATATCTATTACTGGCTTATACAGCTTACAGTTACTTTAAGATAAATCTGTTTAAAGTAAATGTGCGAGAGAATGTGCAGTATATTCATGTGTTGTATTCTTTTCTTATAGGATGTTGTCATGACATCAATCACCTGTTTGGCATACCCATAGTTGTTTATTCAGAGGCTTCTATTGTACAGCCAACTGTGGAGGAAGGCACTAACCTCACAACATATATTACATTGCAAGGGGCACGGGTGCCCCATTGTCCAAGGCGCCGCGACTCTCTGTACAGAGTTACCTCCTTGGGTATGCTGATCCCATATGGTCATGGGTCCGAATTTCCAGAATCACCCAGATTATGTTTCTGAGTTTCTCAGCATCATACCCTTGCTCGAAGGTTTCCCTGAAACGCTAAACTTCTGAAACTTCCAGTCCAACACTTAGCTGACACGCTGTGATGTAACTGGAATACTGTTCGAAGCAGCGTTAAAAAACAACAACTCACAGTTAGATTTTAAAAAAAAGGATAGCTGTAACGTGTGTTCACAGGTATGTGCACCGATTGCATTGTTCCTCCTCAACTCAGAGAGTCAGCTTGTTCCCATCGCCATACAACTGTTCCAAGACCCGGGACTCAGGAACCCTGTAAGTAGGTGTGAGTGAGTGAGGGTGTGAGGTCGCCAACAACATTGTAGTTGTATCAGAACGGCCATGACGGTGACAGACATACATACAGTGTGACACTGAAGTACAGGTTTGCCCCACCCCTATGTCTAGTGTAATAAAGTACAGGTTTGCCCCACCCCCGTGTATAGTGTAGTAAAGTACAGGTTTACCCCACCCCTATGTATAGTGTAATAAAGTACAGGTTTGCCCCACCCCTATGTATAGTGTAATAAAGTACAGGTTTGCCTCACCCCTATGTATAGTGTGTATAGGTTTGCCTCACCCCTATATATAGTGTAATGAAGTACAGGTTTGCCCCACCCGTATGTATAGTGTAATGAAGAACAGGTTTGCCCCACCCGTATGTATAGTGTAATGAAGTACAGGTTTGCCCCACCCCCATGTATAGTGTAATAAAGTACAGGTTTGCCCCACCCCTTTGTATAGTGTAATAAAATACAGGTTTGCCCCACCCCTTGTATAGTGTAATAAAATACAGGTTTGCCCCACCCCATGTTTAGTGTAATAAAGTACAGGTTTGCCCCACCCCTTTGTATAGTGTAATAAAATACAGGTTTGCACTACCTCCATGTATAGTGTAATGAAGTACAGGTTTGCCCCACCCGTATGTATAGTGTAATAAAGTACAGGTTTGCCCCATCCCCATGTTTAGTGTAATAAAGTACAGGTTTGCCCCACCCGTATGTATAGTGTAATGAAGAACAGGTTTGCCCCACCCCTATGTATAGTGTAATAAAGTACAGGTTTGCCCCATCCCCATGTTTAGTGTAATAAAGTACAGGTTTGCCCCACCCCTTTGTATAGTGTAATAAAATACAGGTTTGCACTACCTCCATGTATAGTGTAATGAAGTACAGGTTTGCCCCACCCCTTTGTATAGTGTAATAAAATACAGGTTTGCCCCACCCCTTTGTATAGTGTAATAAAATACAGGTTTGCACTACCTCCATGTATAGTGTAATGAAGTACAGGTTTGCCCCACCCGTATGTATAGTGTAATAAAGTACAGGTTTGCCCCATCCCCATGTTTAGTGTAATAAAGTACAGGTTTGCCCCACCCGTATGTATAGTGTAATGAAGAACAGGTTTGCCCCACCCCCATGTATAGTGTAATAAAGTACAGGTTTGCCCCATCCCCATGTTTAGTGTAATAAAGTACAGGTTTGCCCCACCCCTTTGTATAGTGTAATAAAATACAGGTTTGCACTACCTCCATGTATAGTGTACTGAAGTACAGGTTTGCCCCACCCCTATGTATAGTGTAATAAAGTACAGGTTTGCCCCACCCCCATGTTTAGTGTACTGAAGTACAGGTTGCCCCACCCCTATGTATAGTGTAATAGAGTACAGGTTTGCCCCACCCCTATGTATAGTGTAATAAAGTACAGGTTTGCTCGAACCCCTATGTATAGTGTAATAAAGTTCAGGTTTGCTCGAACCCTAGTCTGTCTCACAGTCCCTGAACCACATAATTTCCCCTACTGCCAAGCCCTCTCTGCAGTGCTAAAGCCCTAAATAAAGCAAGTCTAGATTTCTTCAGGTTCTGAATCTCTGGTCTCCTTAGGGCTCCTTTTCAATATAAATGGGCTTGTTTGTTACTATCAAAATTATATATATTCAGAGACTAAGCCTTAGTCTACTCGAACCCCTATGTATAGTGTAATAAAGTTCAGGTTTGCCCCATCCCCATGTATAGTGTAAGAAAGTACAGGTTTGCCCTACCCCCATTTATAATGTATTGAAGTACAGGTTTGCCCTCAACTATGATATTATGGAATCACGAGGACACTGATTTAGACATTTTACACACTTCCATAAACGTTCATAAAAGACATTTTTTTAATAGATGGTCTCTCATCTTAACTCTGTGTATCTGTCATTGTACCCAGAAACTTTAGATTGGTGTGTTCAGTGTATTTCAAATAATATACACTTTGTTTTACCTGAACATAATCAACATTCATTTTTAGGTGTTTTTCCCGAACGACCCCTGCGGTGTGTGGAGTTTGGCTAAGCAGTGGTTCAATAACGCAGAAGCTCAGATCCACCAGGCGTTGACCCACTTCAGTACGTGAGTCGTGCTCTGCTAGAACATATAATTATGTTAGGTCTAAGTTGTGGATGGAACGTAGTCAAGAACACAACTAAGGGCTCTGAGTCCGTCTTAGAAGCTTTATCAACAACTTTGTGAAACAACAAATATATATTTACTGTACAATTTCAATCTTCCACAAGAAGGTAATAATATAGATAAAGTTGCTTATAGTATAATTACAATTCATAGAGTTATACTTCATTTGCTATTCACAAGATATATTGCATCATGGCCACGGAGCATACACATCAAACTTGATATAACCAGTCATCACAGCACTTAACAGTTTTTTTAGTTGTGGGTTACGCAATTACAATCCTTGGAAATGCACTTAGGTAAAAGCATCTTTCAGACACCCCAATATATACAGGAACATGTTTTACCATCTATGATAAGCTGCTACACATTGAAACACATTGTGAAGCAAGCTTAACCACCTACCTTGGATCTAAAATGGCATGGAACGCTAATTATAATCAGAATACAAAATGTACAGATTGTCTAAATCAATGATACCCTGTTCGCATGACGCTTTTACATACGTGTGTATTTTTTAAATGGTGTGTAAATTAGCTCACGTGTGTAAAGTGGTGCATGCGAACGTGGTATTAGATCAATATATTTATCTGACCCATTTTGCGAAGGAAATCATTGTCAACAACAACAACTTCAAACCATTACTCAAAATTACACCACCACCAAATGTATAAATTCAGCTAGAATGAATATTGAATTATCTTTCATCAAAGATATGTTGTAATATATACCTTGCATAAATAAACAAGTGCAACTAACCATTCAACAATTCAAAGATTTCCAAATGATGACTGACCTCTAGGACATCTTGTCTTGGGAGAAAGACAGCAAATGAACAAATTATTCTCATGTACCTAATTTCAACATTCAATCAAATTGTTGATCTTCAGCCAATGAACCTCAAGGATAAGACAACACACCTGACCTCATCTGAATATGGCTTGTTTTTGTCGAAGTGAATATGATTTAACTTTTAAAAATAGTGTCAAACCAAATGGTTTAAGGTTGTTTGTGGGTTTTTCAGCTGTGTGTCATTCACTGATGGAAGGTATTTGTATCATGTCGCACCGCCACCTGGCGGAGAGCCACCCCATCTTCAAACTCCTCGCACCGCACTTCCACCAACTCATCACCAGCAACAAGTAAGTGGAGAAACCAGACAATCATCTTGAAGCAGCACATCCCAATTTGCCATTAAATGGTGATATAACATACATTAAATACTGAGAGAAACAAATAAAGGATCACAGGAAAATTCAAGCGTTCCTTTATTATTTTCTAATTTTCATTACCACAGGGCTATTCAAAGCTGGTGATGAAAACTGGAAAATATTAAAGGAACGCTTAAATTTTCCTGCGATACTTTATTTGTTTCTCTCAGTATATGTGGCAGGCTGGTGGGTGACCGGCTATGTTGCCCCATCGTCCATTATTATAGCAATACTGGCATAAATAAGGTAAGCTCGGAGGAGGCAACCCTACAAATAGCTGCACCTGCACGTGGAAGGCATAAACAAGGGCCCCCACACTGGCGACAGGTCTCCTGACTTCCACACATACTCTGTTATCATTGCAGACTTTCGCGTACTATTCCATTTCAGTGTTGGTTTGAAGTTAACCTTGGCACTGTATGTGTTTTCACAAATATCGGTAACATGCTGGCAGTAAGCAACATGGGGCCTGATATTGATTAGTGTTAATTATTAAACAATCAACTTTATTTTCGTCCCAGTTGAGTTTCACTGTACAACACTTGATCCCACATCCCCTACGACACAAACTGTTGCGATAAATCCCTTGGTTTGAGATCTGTAAAGTGAATGTGATCTATCATATCTCCACGGCGCTTCGCGTATACTTACTGCTACTATCTGTGTCTATCAGGGAATTCAGAATGGACATTAAAAGATAGTTCATTGACCGTTAGGATCGGAAGCGTGTAGTGCATCACCTAGCTTAAGTGCTCATGATATCACCCTTTCGTTTGCATGCACTATATTTGATTACTTTCTGGTTGCATAAAGAACTCTACCCTGTTTTCCCCTTAGGATATGAAATTGGACGAAATATGAGCTGAACATTTGACCTGTAAACCTCAGAGACCTCTGTAGTACTCTTGTCTGTCCTGGCAGGTTGTGTAGAGAGCATATACTCCAGTCAGGCGGACCGATGGACGCTGTATTGAGCTGTGGGGCTGGGGGAATGGACACCATCATCAGACGAGGGTAAATACTCCCCACCACATTTAAAACAACAATCTGGCTCATCAAACATCCGGATCAGTAATTCCTGACTATGAGTTATCTCCCTTTGCTGCTATAGCGACGTTCTATACAGTGTTTCTCAATTAATGTGTACAGTAAAATATGTATTGATAGCACATACAAGGCATGTTTAGATACACGTAAATCCTAAACGGAATACATTATTTGGTGTTTTCTATTTAAAGACGCATGGCGTCTAATCACATGGCATGAGCGATCACCACACAAACCTGCGGGATGATAGGGCGCGCCACAGTACCTGTGTTAAACGAAAGACCATACAATATTATATGGTCTCTGGTTAAACTGTACATACTCTATTTTTCAGTAGCATATATGATAAATGAATATATTTGATATATTATGAAAGACACATGTTGCCCCACAGTGTTGGGTTCAGCAGGTCACAGTAGAGTAAGAACTGCCAGAAACCCTGAGTGAGTTTGTGTTGGAATCCCAGATTCGCCCTGATTAGGTTTTCAGCTTTGTGAATACCATACCCCTGCTCATTGGTTTCACCAGAGTGGTAAACATGTCAGACCTGCATTACTCCAGGCGTTTCTCCCACATTAAACAGACACGCCGTGATGTAATTGAACTCACTCACTCATTAACTTGAACTTGTCGAGTTGCCTTCCAGGCTCCCTCTATGGAGAATGGATGTGGAAGGGAGTTTACCGGAAGACTTGAAAGCTCGAGGGGTAAGACGGAGACGTTATGTCATATTTACGTTATACTTGTGGGGTAATTTACTTTGATGGGAACTCAAAGTGATCTATTGATACCTTAGACACACAACGCTTTTTAAACAGCTTGCAGAGATACCTCAGATATGCGTTCAATAAAGGATAGACACGATAGAAAAACTGATGAAGCTTTAGCTCTTCACGTCGATGACTGGGGTCCGAATCGAGATTATCGCTTAATGGCCGGGGCGTGATACCTGCTACTCACTTTGCCGCGAGAACACTCTGTAATATTTTTCTGTTTTAATCACATAATATGCCTGATGATGTCCCAGGTGTTTGGCAGCGATGTCCTCCCTGGCTACCACTACAGGGACGACGGCCTTCTCATCTACAACGCCATCGTCGCTTACACCACGAAGTATATCAATATCTACTACGGTGGGTGTATGTCGAAGTGTCAAGACTGCAGAAACAATCCAGAGTTGCGTCCCTTTGTTCTTTGGTTCAAATGCCAGTTCTCTCACTCTGCAGAAGTAAAAGTAAATTAGAATCTCTTTGTAAACAAATACACGGAATAAGATATTTTCATTTTCGCTTATACAAATACATAGAAAATTATAAGAAAAAGTGTTTCCCATTTAAATATAATTAGATTGAAAAGCACAGCTGATGTGTTCATGTGAGTGAGTGAGTGAATGAGTGAGTTTAGTTTTACGCCGCACTCAGCAATATTCCAGCTTTATGGCGGCGGTCTGTAAATAAACGAATCTGGACCAGACAATCCAGTGATCAACAGCATGGGCATCGATCTGCGCAGTTGGGAACCGATGACATGTGTCAACCCAGCCTGACCACCCGATCCCGTGGTCGCCTCTTACGACATCATGGGTTACTGAAGGCCAATATTCTAACCAGGACCTTCACGGGTCGATGTGTTCATGTGTGTATCATAAGATTGTATATATGTATAAAGAGTAAATTTTGTATAATCAAGTCTTCTACAGGAGGAATATTTTTAAATATTCATATTCTGCGTAGCAGCCACATTCGAATGAAAGAAATGCTGATAGTTCAGGGTATTGGCATGAAACAGAATATGGTGCTCCCCGCTGTACGTCCTTCAGATGTCTCTGTTGAAACCTACGTAACACAGATTTGCTCAATCTGTCCTATTCTCTATATTATATAAAACTAATACAGACTATATTTGGTCAATATATGTTTTAATGCCCCCCAATAAATCAATAACGTTTTTCAAAATAGTGATATATATTCGAATTTCCAGACTATGAAGAAAAGATCGGACAAGACTTTGAACTTCAGGCATGGGCATCCGAACTGACCAAATCACGAGAAGATGGTGGCTTAGGAATAAACGTTTGTATAGTCGAAACCTGCAAATGGGCATACAAAAATCTAATTTTATGATTATGTTTCTTTGTGTGTTGTTTGTGCGGGGTTCCGGGTCGTTTCACCTGGGTTGTTTCATCCCAGTTCCAAACTGGGTCAATTCATCCCACATTAGGGGTTGTTTCACGCCAACTAATTGAGTATACATGGAGAATGGCATTAATGCTGAAATCTCTTAATCCTAATTAGGCAATGTTTTTACAACAATCATGTAAATGCTACTGTGTTGAGATGGCACATCGGACTTAAGCTTATATCTCATCTCATATTTGGACAAGAATTTTCCATCAAATTTATTGTGACGTTTCAACTTAAAATCAAAATGTCATTACTGCAACGGTCATAAATCTAGTCATAAATTTTGCTTAAAAACAGCTATGAAGTGAGAAGTGCTCGGCGTCACATATTTAGCTGTGTATAAGTATATTTGGTTATCATGCCCCCTTGATATAATGCCATATTTTCTCCTGCACAAACAGCGGCATTATATGAATGAATGAGTGGTTTATTCTCATGACTGACTGACTGAGTTTGGTTTTACGCCGCTTTTAGCAATATTCCAGCAACATCACGGCGGGGGACACCAGAAAGGGGCTTAACACATTGTGCCCATGTGGGGATTCGAACCCGGGTCTTCGGCGTGACGAGCCAACGCTTTAACCATTAGGCTACCCCACCGCCCCTTATTCTCATGAAGATCACAATAGTGACATAGAGCAAAATACAAAGTTTACGTACATATTTGTATATACGTAGACCGGTTTTCACATAGTTGCTTACCATTAACATGGCTGCTTTATGCATACAAGACATAAGGGATATAACTCTGTCTAATGATGGATAGATACAATGGTAGTTGGCAGAAATGAATTTCTTACTTTTTAAAATATTGACAATATTTAACTTGCAGTGAAGTTCATCTCCTATTGTATTCTTATACAGTGTACATAATCTTTCTTCTTTAATAATATTGCACCATCTACCTGTTTCTATTGGGAGTTTATCGTTACAAGTTCTAATATAGGTAAGCAAAATGCGTACATTAAATGGAAAGTGTAATAGATAACTTTTAAGGTATGGAGATAACTTAAACATATTATAATAGTGCCCTTTAGTAGATTTTGATTTACATTCGTTAAAGTGTAAAACTGGTTACATAATATAGACTTAAGGTTACTTTTAAGCAAAATCTTACTTGTAATGTCTAAGTTTGAGTCCAGGGTATACTGTACTTGCTATCGTCACTGAAGGACGTCACCCGACCCAACACAGCCATTATAACTGATATAATTATTCAAACAATCTGAATATGCTGTTTCGACACTATATATAGATGAATAAAATATTGAAGCAATTTTATAGTTGATAATAATAATATTTTTTTTGCTGGGGTGAAACAACCCCTAAATTGGGTGAACGTGTTTAGGGTGGAACAACCCGGGTGAAACGACTTTGGGTGAACGTGTTTGGGGTGAAATGCCCCGTTATTTACACTGTTTGTCGAATCATGTTGGCATCCCAGTTTTGCTCGATTAATAGGCCTGAACATGTCGCAATGTTTGTTCAACTTCTAACTGCCTATCAAAGACTTGATTAGGTGCAGCTGATCTGACGCTTATCAGAGACACATACCACTGTAACCCTATACCCAGCCATTTATTGAGGCCGATACTTAAATGAGGAGACAATTCGAGTCGCAGTATTCCATGGTTTGTCCGTGCAGGGCGTGCCGGGTCAAGGTCGACTGTCAACCTACGAACACCTTGTCCAGGTCATGGCAAGCGTCATCTTCACGTGCACCGCTGGCCACGCAGCTGTGGGGGGTCGGGCTACATGCGAGCAGTACGCCTTCCCCCCATCATACCCCACATTTATGAGGGGGGCACCACCCTCTGAAAAGGTAGGAATATTTACCTGTTTGCGTCGTGTATATCCACTAGAGAACTATTGTTGTACGAAGAAGGCAGGTCATGAGATAGATGGCCAACTCGCAAGTTGAAATTTGTTCAAGGCATGAACAGAGGCATTGGCAACTGTCATGGGGGGTAATTATTGGGTTCGGGGCGTTTCATAAACTCCATAATATTAATCTGGTTTATATTGCAACGAGGGAAATGTATGAACAATATCAACGTTTGGGGTTGGTGGGGTCGCCTAGTTGTAACGGCGTTCGATCGCCAATGCCCTCGATTCCCCTGATGGATACAGTGGGTGACGCCCCTCTAGTGTCCCACTCCGTAATATCACTGGAATATAAGTAAAGACGTTTTCAAACATACGTATTCACTTAGAACCACACCATCCCGTGTAAGCATGCTGCATACCCTTTGTCACTCTTATCTAGCGGTCCCAGGTAAATTGGTATCCCCAGTTGACTCTGAGCAATATGGCTGAAATAATGCCGATGTGACGTAAAGCCCAACTCAACTCAACTCAGTACCCTGAGCCAGTTGTATTCAAGACGTCAGTATCTGTGATCGCGCCCCGTGTATGAAAAAGCCTAATCTTATCAAATGCACAGTGTCACACATTTTCGACAATATTTTGGCCTATATTAATACAGTAAAGGACTCATTATACCTTACGACTTGCCTGAAATCGATAATTGAAACTTCGAGCGAACAGATTCCAAGCAGAGAACACTTGCCATATATGGAATGTAAACAATTGCTCCGCACATCGAAAACTGTCGCACGCGGTGTTGTCGGTGTTTGCCGAAATGGTTTCGGCCGGTAGAGGGGGCGAGAGTCGATTTAATGCAACATCGCATTAATTCATTCGAACTTTTAAGTTAATATAATCTAAATACGTAATTTTATTTGGAATACATTATATGGTAGCTGATAGTTAGTATCATTTAGAGAAATGCATTATGTATTTTAGAGAAGTGTGGTGTGATATAGCGCCTTAAATTCAATCCAAATCCAGATATTTACATATGTTGCAGAAAAAGACGAAACGCAGGGCTATTATTTTGGCGTTATGTCTTCAGGGGCCTCGAGCCGAGCAGGACATGCTTCAGACGCTGCCAGACCAGCACCAGTCTGCACTAGCCTCCATTCTGAGTTCGAATCTGTGCGGCGTTCTAAAATGTCCACTAGGAGAGTCTCGTCTTCAGTATATCACGGATCCTTCAGCCACAGATATATGTCTCAAGTGAGCGGTATTTTGTTCTGGTAGAGGATACTCATATGGAGAAGTCCGCTATATTCTAATTGAGAATCGCTCTCATTCACCATATATGATAGCTTTCGGTGAAAACAGAAGAACGTTTTGAATTCATTCCAAGCAAAACAGTATTTGTTCCGTCATCAGTTCTGTCGTGTTTGTCTTGTTAAAACCCACCCAGAGACAGCTGTTCATATTTCTTCCTCGCTGAGACCAGTTAGGCGAGACATTGTCACTGAAATCAACCACCTCCTCGCCCATAGGTGAAAACAACACTCTCATGACTAGCGGTAAGGTTTGACTGGTAATGCCTTGCTATGTATTCGATCCAGCAGTAGGTGTTACAGTGTGTGACGTGCTTTAGTCAACCTGTAGCCAATACATACTTGCAGGGATGGAAGTGAAGCAAGGACCTCTACTATCCCGAATAGCGACAACACATACCACTACCCATCTAAAATTCTACAAGCCCGTTGACATATACTATCCCAAAAAAGAAACGCATATGCGTTTTGTATTTTTTAAAATGTATTAATTACCTTTTGTGATAAAACAATCGTCAAAATATGTAACAAAAGTGTTGATAACATGATTTTACACAATTGCACAAGTAAAAAATCGACTTTACCTGAAAGTGTTGATTTTGATAAGATTTCTTACAAGGATCACAAAGGCATCGCCATAGGCAACCGAAATCACCTTCCAGTTGAAATTGTGCAGCCAAGAGCATGCACTGTCTGGCTATAAAAACCCAGATTACTTTCGGAAATCGGTATTCGTTTAGAAGGAGTTTCAAGGTCAAATCACAACGCCGCGTCTTAACTCTGCGACACGGAACATCGCCATTAAAAAGAATGCACGCTGGAGATTACCAATCTTCTGTTGCCAGGCGTCTGAATGTTAGTTTGAGCACGATATCACCGCTTGCAGCTCGTTACAACCAAACAGGTGTAAGAAATGACCGTCCTCGTAAGGGCAGAGCTCAAGTCACCACTGCAGTCCAAGATCGGTACATCCGGGTACTACATTTGCTTGTTCGTACTGCCACGGGTGAGAGCACAGCAGCCAGGGTGCCTGAATTTCGGAGGATATCCGGTCAAACTGTACGGAACAGGTTGAGAGAGATTGGACTGAGAGCCAGGAGGCCCGACGTCGGGACCGTGCTACGTCGTCACCATCGCGCTCAGCGTATCCGTTATCTAAAATTATCAACTTTGTTGTATAGACATTTCCTTCTTCTAAACCGATGTAAAAATTCATGCACTAAAGTCTAATGGTGGACGAGTTATACATGTTTGAAAATACAGCATTTTCTGGCCTATGCGTTTCTTTTTTTGGGATAGCATATTATATCATCAAAACTCCTTCTGGCTGGCATGCAAGTGCAAATGTCATTCCTGAAACTGATACAATGTAGCATTTTATTAAGATTGATGAACAGGAAAGGCTTCTGTAGTAAGACTGGTCTTTGTTTTTTATTTTTCGTCAAGGTTTCAAGAAGAATTGGAAGAGGCACGCTATCTGATCAACTGGCGCAACAAAAAGCGTGTTTGCCCCTACACGTGCCTGAACCCCAAGTCAATTCCCAGCACACCTTTCTCGTAACACATGTCTCAAGCGGCTCCAACTCGCTCTCTACACGTGTCTGGATGTCAAGACGTCACCAACACTTCCATCTCGTACCGCTGCCCCGCTCATGCCTCCGCACGTGTCTGGACGTCTTTACGCTGGCTCGCTCCTGTCTCTACACGTAGCTGGACGCCTTTACGCTGGCTCGCTCCTGTCTCTACACGTGTCTGGATGTCAAAATTTAACCCAACACTTCCATCTCGTACAGTATCACCGTGCACGTCTGTGTCCGTATCATCACTGGAACTAGCAAACCTGTCATCTGCAAACTAACGAAACACTGGGCCCATGACATCTGGTAGACGAGTTTCAGTGACGGAGGACGTGAATCAATAATAATGATAGCAAAGAGTCAATCGTTTCGGCCCCAATGTCATATGTGTTCCAGTGAGAGGTATCCGTTATAGTGAGGTTCTGCTATACGTTTGAAAGGAAACTGTCTATTGTCTAATGTTGAAACAACACCATGAACAACGTTTGAGACGTGGAAAGCTGTTTCTGTGGTGATGCTATGAAACCCGAAAGCGGAAGGTTTCACGTGTATCATTTTGAGTTTCCATAATTCAGCAGCTACGTATGTAGTCTGTATAATGAGTGAGGCAAGCCGTGGTGGTGCTTCAGTCGTACACAGCGCTACCACACCCACCCACATCCCTAAAACACACTCACACAAACACACAGCGCTATCACACCCACCCACACCCCTAAAACACACTCAAACACACAGCGCTATCACACCCACCCACACCCATAAAACACACTCACACAAACACACACTCTCTCTCACACACACAGCGCTACCACACCTACCCACACCCCTAACACACACACTGTCTCTCTCACACACACAGCGCTACCACACCTACCCACCCTAACACACACACACACACACACAGTCACTCACACACACACAGCGCTACCACACCGCACCCACACCCACTAACACACAAGCACGACCCACTCTCTCTCTCTCTCACTCTCACCAACGCTACCACACCTACCCACACCCCTAACACACACTCTCACACACACACACACACACACAGCGCTACCACACCTACCCACACCCCTACACACACTACACTCTCTCTCTCACACACACACACTCTCTCTCACACACACACACACACACACAACGCTACCACACCTACCCACACCCCTAACACACACTGTCTCTCTCTCTCACACACACACACACAGCGCTACCACACCTACCCACACCCCTAACACACACACACACACTCTCTCGCTCTTACACACACACTCTGTCTCTCTCTCTCACACACACAGCGCTACCACACCTACCCACACCCCTAACACACACAAACTCTCTCTCTCACAGACAGCGCTCCCACACCTACACACACCCCTAACACACACACACTCCCTCTTTCACACACACACACACACAGCGCTACCACACCTACCCACATCCCTAACACACACACACACACACTCTCTCTCTCTCTGTCTCTCACACACACACACTCTGTCTCTCTGTCTCACACACACAGCGCTACCACACCCCTAACACACACACTCTCTCTCTCTCTCACACACACACACACAGCGCTACCACACCTACCCACACCCCTAACACACCCTCACACACACAACGCTAACACACACAGACACACAGCGCTACCACACCTACCCACACCCTAACACACACACAGCGCTCCCACACCCTAATACACGCGCGCGCACGCACGTACGCACGCACACACACAACATAGCTCCAAGACACATGAGAATCCTCGTCATACTAAGGCTGCGGTAAGATACCAAAGTCCTTGGGTTTCACCGAGGTGGTACACGCCACATCAGATATCAGTCCGGGATATCAATGTATTATGTTGAAACCCATGTCACCCCCTCACCATGGAGCATATCCCTACTCTGTGTATATTGATATTAAACTCATGAAGCCATTATTTGGGTTTTGTTATTATTACTTTTTGTAAAAGGAGGAAGAGGAAGTAACCCCATATTGCATGTATGCAGCAGTGGAATTCAGAAAGGCAGAAAAGGTCATTCAATATTAAATCAATCAGTCTAAATCTGAGAAAACTGGCACCTGAAAGGAAGAGGTGTGTTATTTTGTTCAAACGGACGTGGAAAATCTCCAGTATTTGTTCAATACAGCAGAAAATAGAATTAGAGTATTGGTTACATCTGCTGTGCTACATGGGGGAAGAGGAGAATACCAAGGTTGAAGGCAGGTGGTTGTATATAGGCTGGACGAGAAGCGAGAAGGGCACTTGTATTACAACTATGACATAATTCACATTCCAATGTTAGTTTAACATAATGTGGTTAACATTACAACTTTTGTTCAGCATCTGCTTGGAGAGAAGAAGGTTGTTGGTTCCATCCCTGCCGACACCATACCAAAAGATGGTACTTAGCATTCATGGACTAAACAAATACTGGTCACAATGCTGAATCCCACTTTGGTCCAGGCTGCTAAAACAACGTCTGGCTGGTCCGGTCTCCCTTCACAATGGCTGGGATCATATCAGTGTTGCAGGTGCCCCCAGATTGATACAGCACGTGAACAATAACCCAAGGCACATATAAGACATTGTTCTTTTCTTCAGCCCGCAACTTGAGACATTGAGAAATAGGAGGTGTAACACTGGATCGTGTTAAAAAAATATAACCTTGCTTCACCCAACAACATGGGTCACTTGTCATACAGAGAGCACATGGGTTCAAGAAGAGTTTGTATATACCTCGGCTTATCTATGAGATCAGTTTATCTACCGTATATATAGGAGTTCATGTTTAGTACAATTCTGGTGTCCGCCATCCCTTAGGGGTCAAACCAAACACCTCCACTCGCTTGTTGAGTTACACAAACCTTGTCCGTGGCATTCGCTCACATAGTACAAACAAAACACAGAAGTATACAACAGCAGGATTTATTCTGTTTGATTAGAGACAGTGATTACCCCACCACAAATTGTGCAACGTTCCACAAGATGGAATTCTATCATGGATTTACACTCAACAGCAACTTCTTTAACTAGCTCAAGGAAATATAATCAGTCTGCATACATACAGTCTTGGAATAAAAATAATGGTGTCCGACCTAGAGCATATAAATATTCAAAACACAAATATTAAGTTATCCTGAACAAAACGAAAAGCTCCAAATAATGATTTAGAAAATGGTTTGTTGGTCGTATTTTCCTATAGATTTTCCTAAAACATACGACGTATGTATTTTTTTTAACAGTAACAAACCTGAACTTGTGCGACTATACGTCCCATGTGTAATAGCGTACATTATTTAGTACAACATATTCCTGTCTATGCTAGGGGTAAGACACCACGTTATGCTGACGGCTCCAGTTGGATGTGACAGTTAGGGAAATAGCAGCTTATAGTCACTTGGCAATACCAATCACACCGCAGGCCAGTCGACTGCCAGCATTCCCCGTCTTCAAACTTTCCTCATTGCCTCCCTACCCAGGTCATCTTCTCCAGCGTGGACCTGCAGAAGGGAAGTGTCAGATCAACATATAACATCAGGCAAATACACACATCACAATAATGTGCTCAACATGGGGTGTGCATCATGTATTCATGTTCCAAACAGAAACGTACGTTTTAATGGTCAAGTTAACTTGTCCTACATATAAAAACAAAGCGAGATGATAAAAATAGTCGACGTCAGAAACGTCCTGTGAATTACCATTATATGTTTTTAGTTATTCTTTAATCTCTCACTGGACAATTGTCGAGAAGAGATTGTGGAAACATTGGATTGGGTAGATGTCACAACACTTCGTACAAACATAAAGGGTTCGCAGAAATCACCTTGAGATGATTTGCTGTAAGTGCATAAACTGAAATTTAACTGAAACAGTCCTCTCAATGCTTAATTCAGCAAGTGAAAGGTTATGTCTGTGGAACGATAGTAAAGGCCTCTCTTGTCCATTCGCCCATGCACTCCTGGCTGCTCTCCTTATAGGACAACTACCCTCGCCCTAGTTGAAGCATGCAGCACGCTCCACTACCTGCCCACTACCTCTGAGTGATTCATTCTCATTCTTGAATCCAACATTGTAATCTCAGTAGTGGGGAGGTCGGGCCGTCATCCATCGCGTGAGATAGGATAAGTGTATTGAAATACATTTCATAGTTAAAATGTCCAAATTGTTACACTTATCCTATCTCACAATTTGCACTTATCACATGGTTGGACGGTGTGCATTACCCTGTGTGCAGACAATCTGAGCAGAGAACTGTGTAGACTGAAGACAACCGTAGATAGCAATGCACAAGGGAGGCCTGTTATGACACGCAACTCCAGAACCCCTTGGCTTACCAAGCACAACGACTCCCATGGAGATGGGTGCTCCCGAGCGATGTGGTGTTCAGCCGCAACCTTTGTACTAAGCCGAAAGGATGTCACTTAACAAGTAACCTCGCTTCGTCGTGATTACAAGGTACCCCCATAATTTGGTCTCTCGACCAAAAATCGGGCGAGTCCCAACAGACACCATCAAGTAGAGGGTGAGAGGAAAACTGAATCTGAAAGCTCACAGGTTTAAAGTTCAGAACCAAAGCAACATTATTGACTTTCACCCCTCACTAAAGCTTAAGTCAAAGGACGTGCTGGGCACTTAACAGCCAGCATGCAACGAAATCCATTTAAATCCGGGAATGACACACTGTATTGACAAAATTACTCCGTAGAGTAGAGGTCGGTGAGCGCGGATAACGAACACTTACAGGGCAGAGTGACAAGTACTCAGTGTCATCAGGCCAAAGTATAGTGGACAACGGGGGAATGGAAAACATTCGGTGAGGTTGTCCTGGCAGCTGGTTTTTCATGATGAAGTCCCAACAGAGAACCAGGAAAACCTTGCCATGTTTTTTCCGCTCGAACGTCACGTGACTGACATCAATCGTGTGAGGTTCTGAGATATGAGCAACAGTAGCCAAGGCTACCAGGAACAGTCACTTTTTCAAAGTCTTTGTCCTCCAGAGACTCATAATCAGCAGAGACCAGAGAACGAAGGACAACGGAGAGGTCCCAGACCAGAGGTCTAAACTTCCTGGACTGGTCTATGAGTCTTTAAGAACGTAACAGTTACTGGAGCTTAGGAACAGTGGAGATCTTAGCATCCGTAGTAGTAGCCAGAACCGAATTGATAACCGTCAAATAGGTGGCTAAAGTAGTACCTTGTGGGCTACTGAGAAACACAGCAACGACATGAGCAGAGGCAGAGGTGGGCGATGGAATGCCCCTTGCCCGTAAAATGAACGAGTCAACGAACGATGAGCCAAAGTGATGAGCTGAAGCTACTCGCCGAGAATAGCCTTTACCTATAAGTGAAGTCTTGAGATGCGCCAAAATTGCAGATGAGGGCCTGGAGGGACCCATGGCGCAGGTCTGAGTGAGGGTGAAGAAGCAGGTAAGCAGGGAAGCAGTACTGGGTTTGGCTCTACCAGGCTTCTGAGGTCTACGAACCAACTTCTCGCCGGCCAGAAGGCGCGACCAAAAACAGACAAATTTTGCTTGCCAATAACAACTTCTGAAGTACCTTGGGTAGTAGAGCTGAAGGGAGGAATGTATGTGTTGACACCCTCCCAGGGTATTGCCAGTGCATTGAGATCCCACGCCAGGGGATCTGGGATTGGGAGAGACGAACTTCGGAAGTTGCTTGTTGAATTTGGTGGCAACAGGTCTACTTGGAGCTGTGATAACGAGTGAATCATCAACTGGAATACTTAAGAGAGCAGTTTCCATTCTGCCGGAGATGGGCAGTTTGAACAGTACAGGCCATCGCAGTCTTTACTCTGGGAATGTGTCTGGCTCTGGCGTCAATGCCGAGTGAATCGATGACATGAAAGAATCGAATCGTCCATTGCAGTAGATTCGCCAATCCCGTCTATGTGCCAAACCATGGTCGACCTGTCTGAATGAATCAGTGGACTGGCTGCTCGTAACTATGTTGCCCAATGTCTGATTGCCAAGATCACTGCTTTGAATTCCAGTTCGTTGATGTGAAGAGTCTCTTCATCGCAAGACCACAGCCCGGCCACTTGGCGGTCGAGAAAATGAGCACCTCAACCCTTGAGACGCATCGACGATAATTCGTTACACTGCTATACTGAGTCTAACCTTTTGGACTGACCACACAGTATGGCAGTGCAACGAATAATACTGAGCCTAAGTTTGCTAAGAATGGTGTGAAGGGCAGCTTAAAGACTCCGGTGCAAATGTTCTGTTCGTCTAGCGACCATTCAAGACTGGATGAAGTGGTTCGGGAAGACAAATAAATTCCCTTGGGCTGTCGGCCTGAAGATACGGTCGTAGAAAGCACTGTAGTGGACGAAGCAAGAGTTGGCCTCTGTACATGAGGGCCTGAGCTGATGTCAGAAGACCCAGTAACTCTTACCACTGACAAAGAGTTCTTGCCCAAGACAATGCCAACTGAATGCTGCATTATCTTGGCCCACCTGTCTTGCAGGACGAACATCATCAGCAGACGGCTGTCGAATGTTGCCCCTATGAATTGGAGTCTCTGGGTCGGTATTAACTCGACTTCACAACATTGAGCAGCCGCCCCAACTGCTGGAGCAGGGTGGTGGTGGACTGCAGATGACAAGTAGGACAATCGAATCCTGGTAAGTCTGAATGCAATCGTCTATATAATTCCCAAATGTGGAAAGAGTAAGGAAACTTGTGAACAGCTTGGTAATATGAGTAAAAAGCCACGGGGCGATGGACATTCCAAATGGCAGGACTCGCCACTGATAGTGGATCCATTCAAATATGAAGCGGAGATACTTCCGATGCTCTAGATGGATTGGGGCGTGAAGATAAGAGTCCTGCAGATCGAGATTGATGAGGAAGTCTCCTTTCTTCAGGATGGTGTGAAGCAGACTGATCAACACTGAAGTGAGGTGGTGGATGCAGATATTGGGCGTTGAACAGCTTCATATTGAAAATCAGCTGAATTTGGTTGCAGATTTTCTTTGGTACTAGAAATATCGGTTAGTAGAAGCCTGCAGTGATGGGTGACGGACCGAGAGGTTTGATGGCATGTTTCTTGTAGATCCGTACCTATAGTGGCTCACAGAGTCGGGAGCTGGTCTGGCGGGTAGGTGGGTTGCTCTTACGGTTCCATCATCAAAGATGGATTTCCTATGATGGGCTTTGGTAACATATGGATCGTTGAGGATGGTCAAGTTCAGGGCGAATAACCCGAGTATGCCTCATGGAGAGTCGCAAATCGTGAGGCGGGAGTTCCCAGTCGGGAGAATATGTCCCTGAGTCACTGTTTCCCGGCACACGCCCCATGACCGGGTAAGCCTTAGGAAGGCATCGGGATATACCACTGCAGTTTGACTTCTTACCCCATCAACTGGCTGGGCGGTCCCGAAAAGTGTCCCTCAGCTCAGGATTGGATGTGGTGAACCGATGTGTCTGTTGTTGTATCATCGAGTCCTGTACTTGAGTTCTTTGCAGGTCCAGGAGCTCGAATGAAACTTGAAAGTGTGTCTCGTGGTCCACTTTACTATGATGCCATTAAGGTTGCCGAACTCAGCCTTAAACCATTTCATCCCAAGGTGACAGGTTAAGTGGTCCTTGAAAACGAAAGTATATCCAGAAAAGTGAGATAATTGGTCTAAGCCTATCTGGAATTGATCAAGTATGAGAGTCATACAATCCTCTGATGTAGGCATCCTGATCTGGATAAGCATGCTCCAAAGCGGCGGTGTCTGCATCCACCGCGGTGATGACACAGTTGATTGATGATAAAGTGTGGTGCATTGCAGTGTCCATATGGGTTAACTCCCTATCTTCAATCAGGAAGGGAGAATTGTGTTGTTATGTCTTCATCGGCAGGCGGAGTGTGAGCGGCTGACGGATTATATCTAAGAGAAGAAAGACCATCCTTGGTTCTCTTCAAACTCTTAAAGGCGTGGTCCAGTGTAGTGAGATGTAAAATGCATGGAGGAGGAGGCATAGTAATGGACGTCAAATCCCTACCCATCATATACTGAACAGCAAAAGAAACGCAAGTCTGGCTTTTTGTCATGTTTTTTAATAGAAGACAACCAAAAGTATGTCTAATCATAGGTAGATTAAACTTTTCAATGATCCATGCAAGCACATGAAATGATTCAACTAAGTCAAAACTACCCTCAGGGGTAGAAACATCAGAACAATTCGGAGATTGTAAGTCTAAAGGATGAGAAGAGACGCCCCCAAGGGACGAATCTGATGGACGGCTTGTGGTTGCCGAAGAAACTGGCTGCAAGATTCCAAACATCAGTAATAGCACGAAGCATTGTTTGTAAGTCAGGTGTCACCGTAGTATCCTGATTCGGGTCCCACGACTCAGGCAATGATTGACCTTATCAATCAATCAGTTTATTGCATGAAGGCCAGAGGCCCATATACAAAATAGATATGTATGATATATACAACATATACAACATGCGACACACGCGTTACATTGAATCTCTTCTCAATATAATCGCGTGATAAATAAATAGAGCTACCTTATATTGTAATAGGGATGCTTTCCATGAAAGTATTGAATACAGCATTAATATTTGATGGTATCCATTGTGGAAAATACAGTTGCCTTAAATCATTATATGCAGGACAAAAAAATAGAAAGTGTAATTCATTCTCTACAGTATTACAAAATGGAACGAACCTGTGTGATTTTATAATAGATGAATATCCACCTTAATTGATATATAAATCATTTAGGCCAAGTCACAGGCGTATGGAAACATTACGAAGCTTTTTACTACGTAAGTTGTATAGATACGACTCAGGTTCAAGTAAAGATTTAAACTCACGATAACAATCATATCTTGAACTTTCATATAATGATGAATGCCAATCTTGTTTAAAGATATCGATAGGCCTGGTACGAAATTTTTTGATAAATGCATTAACATCGCCCAGGGTTTGGGATAACCAAACAAATCCAAAGCCGTATCTCAACAAAAGATTACGAATACGGGTTGCCCAAGTATTTTTACCAATATTATCAAGATGGACAATCATATTGTAGGTTTTTTTGGGCAGACGATGTTCAGGCATATTTATTACTTTACACCAGTACTTTAGACAGCGAGAGTAAGAAATTATGTACAAAGGAAATCTCCCACATTCACCGTACACCATCTTATTAGGGGTAGACATCCCAACATTTAAAAACCTTTGACATGCAAGAAGGTGAACCTTTTCAATGGCATAAACTTCGCTATAGCCCCAAATTTCAGACCCATAAAGAAGAATAGGCTGTACTTGGGAATCAAACAATTTGAAAAACATATTGGGACCAACAACCCCCAACTTTGGTACAGCAGAGAGCAATCTAAGTAGGGCCCTTTTCCCTCTAATTGTCAAATTAATAATGGATTTATTCAGATTTAGTGTATGTGTAAACAGTAGATATTTATATTCGTTAACAACAGTCATACGTTCACATTTAAAGTACCACTTTTCTGTAGCTGCCGTTGGACCACCCTTACGAGAAACAACAATTTTGGTCTTTTCAAGATTGACATCAAGTTGCATGTTATCTGAATAAGATGAAAGTGTATCAATTTGTCTCTGAAGGCCAATAACAGTACTTGACATAAGGATCACATCGTCGGCAAAAAGTAAAAAAAAAGTTCAACAAGATCAGGAAATAATTGGATGCGATTTCTGCCAGATTGTATAACGTCAAAATATAGTTGCGATCTGGGGGGCTGAGTCGTAGAGTTAGTCGATGCCAAGTTAGACGATGCTACAGGTCTCAAAGACAAATAGGCAATAGGCGATCAATGATCTGACGAACTCTACTGATGTCTAGGAGGTGAGTAATTATGCGAACCCACACGAACTGTTAAATGTTGTCCAGTACTAGACTTGGATAAACAGGATGTACCAACATGATCTGAAGATCTAGAACGGTGAGATGAACTAGATCGGTGCGGTGAACCAAAACGCCAATGAACAGTCAGATGATTTAGAGCAATTCGAAGAATCAGATCGGTGATGGGATCTGGAATGATCCGTAGAGTCAGTACGCCAAGGTGAATCGCTTCGGTGAGGCAATCCATCTCAGTTAGTTCAGCTAGTATGGCGATGATATCCAGGTCGAATTGGGGATATCACTCGGTGTTGTGATACAGTTCAGTGTGGTGAAATGATTTGTCCCTGTGACGTGGTGAACTGGTTCAATGTAGTGAATCGGATCGGCATGGTGAATCAGGTAGTTGTGAATTGGTTTGTTGTTTTGAATCAGTTCGGCCTGGTGAATCCATTTGACTGGGTGAATTGATTCAGCTTGGTAACCTTGTTTGACATGAATCAGTTCGGCCTGAGGAACGGGAACGATCATGCGAATCGGCACAGGCTAGAGAAATCGTTCGATCATGTGAATCGGTTCTTTCTGGTCAATGGGATTGACAAGAATATTCAACTCGGACTGGTAAATTAATTCGACACAGAGACGTATAGTAGATCGACGAGGAGATCATGATCAGAGGTGTAAGTCGACTTGCTGGGGCGAGGTAGATTGCTTTTGTGAACAGGAACGATGACGTAAACTAGTTCGGTTAGGAGAACGGGATAGGAGACCTGAGACATGGATAGGCGAGGCGATCTGGAATGGCTTGAACTTGTAGGTGAAGCAGAACGACGGCTGGCATTGGACGGGGTGGGAGCCAACTCCATCCGATTTGGTGAATCGGCCGGGCACAGCAGCACTGAATGCGACTGGCCAGGCTCACCGAGTGAGGTCTACAGAAGAGTCCAGATGTCTTGAGGTGTCATAGAGATCGTAGGAGTGGGAGATCGTCCACGACCACAACCTTTGACGGTATGGAAGACGACGGGGAAAGATGTGTCCCTTAGAGCTTCCGAATATCCCCCGAAAGGTAGGAATCCAGAGTGCCCATTAATCTTCTGCCTCGGAGGGCAGGGTCTTTGATCGCCTTTGAGCTGTCAAAGTAGGTCATTGAATCTTAGATTTCTTCGGCGGAGATGAACCATGTTCCCTAGATGCATTCCTAGCCCATCTGCAAGACGTTGATCACATGCACGTCTAGATGCTTTAAAAGCACCTTGTGGCAGGGAAGAGAACGTCCACGTACATTGTCTGATACGGTCTGCGAACGAAGAGTGGGAATCCAGGTTAGAAAATATCGTCTTGCATTGAGCAAAAAACTTGCGTTTTCTAGTAGATGGATCTGATTTTCCCATGATCTTGTTATACGGGAATAACTTAGAGGTTATAAACGTCCACCCTGTGGTGCGACAAGAATGAGAAGTGTCTCAATAACCTAGCTCCAAAGTATCTATCTGACCTGATCACCAGATATCAGCCCAACCGAAGTCTGATCTGAAAAGTTTGGTCTTCTTGTTGTCCCACACTTTAGGTCCGGCACCAGTTTTGGTGATCGATCATTTCAGATGGCAGGACCCACTCTCTGGAATCAAGTTCCACTGGAGTTAAGGGGAGTTAACAACCTGAAGATTTTCAAATCTAAACTGAAGACATCCTTTTTGAAGAAAACATACAGTGTCTTACTTTTCATTCTTAAGTTGTTCGGGGAGCGCTACTGAGAAGTACTTTTGGACTGGAATTGGCGCTATATAAATGTCATGATGATGATGATAATGAGGATGAAGATGAGAATTATAGGAAACGTTTACTATCGTTCCACTCAGTGTCGAAGCAAGAGAGAGAAGTGCAAAACGTGAGATAGGATAAGTTTAAAAATATAGTTAACAACATTGCATTATTTGTGTAAAGCATTGACTCCCCTCACTTTGAACGGAAGGCAGTCTTACAATCTGTGCTGAAACATCTGTGGCTTCCCACCCAAACGTGGCTTTTAGGATTACTTTATTTAATTCTCAGCTCACATGACAGTGCAGGTTTTACAAAACAATCTTCGTTTCTTCCATTGGACCTTGGAAAGTAGGGGAGACAACTACTAAGGTTATACTTTAGGCATTCACTGACTGATTGACTGAGTTGGGTTGTACGCTGCTTTTAGCAATATGCCAGCAATATCACAGCTGGGTACACCACAAATGGGCTTCACACATTGTACTCATGTGGAGAATCGAACCTGGGTCTTCGGCGTGACGAGTGAACGCTTTAACCACTGGGCTACCCCACCGCCCGCATTCCTTTACAACAGTTACTATAGTTACGACACAGACATTCACTTACAACTATCGATCTGCCAGTGATTGAATTGGCGCCTGTCAAACTTATGGTCCGGTCATCAAGCTTGATGTCTGCTACTCCAGCAGCGTTGGCAACGATGTTGCCAAGGTCACCAGCATGTCTGTGTAAACGCAAATATAGCATAGCTTTGTTGTTTTTCTTTAATTTGTTAATTTGTGGGCCTATGAGTGATGAAAGTTGTGATTATCTTAACACAAAGACTGAAATGTTGAACAGGACAGGTAGACCTCAGTCTAAGTAAACTTAGACTCAGTATTATTCGTTACACTGCAATACTGAATCTAAGAAACCCTAGCAGAAGGTTGCGTCAGCTAACCTTTCGAATTGACCAATCAGAACACAGCTTACCAAATCGCGAAAGTTCACATTCATACATACCGTTTGAACTTTTACCTTTAAAACGTTTGTACTCGAACGAATCCGAATGCTATTTTCCGCACGACCGTTTCTGAGTGATACACATGGGAGAAGGCATTATTCAGAACAGTGAGTAAACAGCCGCTGAAAATAGCGTTTTTGTCAATATTCCCGGATATCATCAAGCGGAAATATAAGCGAATAGTAATTATGTCATCAGAAACCCCTAGGGGTATATACTGCAGGTCAAATAGTGTCAGTGTCAGCGACAAGAGAAAATTTCCGCTGTCCTGTTGAACAATATATAGTAGCTGTTTGATTGGTTAAATCGTCTCTTCTCGGTCGTCTCGTGTTTGGTAATACTGAGCCTAAGTTTACTGAGACTGGGTAGACCTAATCTGGGTTTTGTTACTACTACAAGTATTCAGCACTATCAAACATGCATATAACTCAAGGCCGTTAAACCACAAGCCATTCTTTCATATGGCACAGCTGATCAATCAATACTACACAAGGACATTTAGCCACACCCCATTCTTTCATATGGCATAGCTGATCAATCAATACTACTCAAGGCCGTTAAACCACAACCCATTCTTTCATATGGCACAGCTGATCAATCAATACTACACAAGGAAGTTAAGCCACAACCCATTCTTTCATATGGCACAGCTGATCAATCAATACTACTCAAGGCCGTTAAACCACAACCCATTCTTTCATATGGCACAGCTGATCAATCAATACTACACCAGGAAGTTAAGCCACACCCCGTTCTTTCATATGGCATAGCTGATCAATCAATACTACTCAAGGACGTTAAACCACAACCCATTCTTTCATATGGCACAGCTGATCAATCAATACTACTCAAGGCCGTTAAACCACAACCCATTCTTTCATATGGCACAGCTGATCAATCAATACTACACCAGGAAGTTAAGCCACACCCCGTTCTTTCATATGGCATAGCTGATCAATCAATACTACTCAAGGACGTTAAACCATAACCCATTCTTTCATATGGCACAGCTGATCAATCAATACTACTCAAGGCCGTTAAACCACAAGCCATTCTTTCATATGGCCCATATGATCAATCAATACTACTCAAGGAAGTTAAGCCACACCCCATTCTTTCATATGGCACAGCTGATCAATCAATACTACTCAAGGCCGTTAAACCACAACCCATTCTTTCATATGGCATAGCTGATCAATCAATACTACTCAAGGACGTTAAGCCACACCCCATTCTTTCATATGGCCCAGATGATCAATCAATACTACTCAAGGCCGTTAAACCACAAGCCATTCTTTCATATGGCATAGCTGATCAATCAATACTACACAAGGATGTTAAGCCACAACCCGTTCTTTCATATGGCACAGCTGATCAATCGATACTACTCAAAGCCGTTAAACCACAACCCATTCTTTCATATGGCATAGCTGATCAATCAATACTACTCAAGGACGTTAAGCCACACCCCATTCTTTCATATGGCCCAGATGATCAATCAATACTACTCAAGGCCGTTAAACCACAACCCATTCTTTCATATGGCACAGCTGATCAATCAATTCTACTGAAGGCCTTAAAAACACAACCCATTCTTTCATATGGCATAGCTGATCAATCAATACTACTCAAGGCCGTTAAGCCACACCCCATTCTTTCATATGGCACAGATGATCAATCAATACTACTCAAGGCCGTTAAACCATAACCCATTCTTTCATATGGCATAGCTGATCAATCAATACTACACAAGGAAGTTAAGCCACAACCCATTCTTTCATATGGCATAGCTGATCAATCAATACTACTCAAGGCCGTTAAACCACAACCCATTCTTTCATATGGCACAGCTGATCAATCAATACTACTCAACGCCGTTAAACCACAACCCATTCTTTCATATGGCACAGCTGATCAATCAATACTACACAAGGAAGTTAAGCCACACCCCATTCTTTCATATGGCACAGCTGATCAATCAATACTACTCAAGGCCGTTAAACCATAACCCATTCTTTCATATGGCATAGCTGATCAATCAATACTACACAAGGAAGTTAAGCCACAACCCATTCTTTCATATGGCATAGCTGATCAATCAATACTACTCAAGGCCGTTAAACCACAACCCATTCTTTCATATGGCACAGCTGATCAATCAATACTACTCAACGCCGTTAAACCACAACCCATTCTTTCATATGGCACAGCTGATCAATCAATACTACACAAGGAAGTTAAGCCACACCCCATTCTTTCATATGGCACAGCTGATCAATCAATACTACTCAAGGCCGTTAAACCACACCCCATTCTTTCATATGGCACAGCTAATCAATCTTGCCATTATCCTATAAGTAGAATGTACCCACTTATTGTTACAATAATCTAGTAGTAGTAGTAAGGAATGTTTTGACCACTTCCGCTCATGGCCTTATTTATGGTTCCCAGCAGTCCCTTACGAATGGCGGGAGATGAGCGGGGACATCCAACTATGTGCCCTGTATGAACGATTTTTTTAAATAATCATAATAGCTAGTGATTATGTTATGGATGGGGTATCACATAAACTGTTCGAAGTCGAGTGAGTGAGTATGTTATTATTTAACGTCACATCGGCAATATTTCAGTCATATCGTGACGAGAACATATGTGACATTGAAATGGAATAGATGTATATTAGAAAAACCTGTCGACGAAGGACAGTAAAACAACTATAATATCACAATTACAACTACAAATATAGCTACGAGCAGCGATGTGGGTTCCTTGGCTTTATTTCAATCAAGTGAGTGAGTGAGTGAGTTTAGTTTTACGCCGCACTCAGCAATATTCCAGCTATATGGCGGCGGTCTGTAAATAATCGAGTCTGGACCAGACAATCCAGTGATCAACAGCATGAGCATCGATCTGCGCAATTGGGAACCGATGACATGTGTCAACTAAGTCAGCGAGCCTGACCACCCGATCCCGTTAGTCGCCTTTTACGACAAGCATAGTCGCCTTTTATGACAAGAATGGGTTGCTGAAGACCTATTCTACCCCGGATCTACACGGGTCTATTTCAATCAAGCCACTTGTACCTGTGATGTAGATGTTGAAAGTAGTAATGGCTACAGTTAATAGGGATCATATCACTGTCAGTAATGAGAAATGCTTCAGTAGTGAACTTTGAATTCATATGGTCCAGGGTTAGATACAAAGGATTGTGTGGTATGGTCTGGATAATGGCAGTTATGGCTTTGGAAACAGTAGTTGGCTTGATTAAGAAATAAGAATAATGGTTTCACGTTCAATTGCTAATTATTTATTTGTTTTAACTGAATTGATGACATTCCCGCCAGTTCTGACAAGCTTATGGTGCTGGCTAAAAACATTTTAACTGGTAGTACTGGACGTTCTGATAAATTAGATCAGTTTATTGCAAAGATTGAATTGAATATCATTTGGTGTCTCGGGTAAAACAGGAATCTCAAAGCAGAAAAGATCCCGTTGATCAAATTGACAAGAAAACAGAAGATTTGGTAGCCTTAGCTGAAAAAGGTGCAAAGTTTACTGTGATTCACAATATAGTACTTAAAGAGTAAGTCTATCTTAAACAAACAAACAAACGTTTCCAGTGATCTAATACAAAATTACAATGGACCCAGTCGAATTAGATATAGAACGTCAGTGCACGTAAGATTCATTTACTGCATTCACTTTGGTGGTTCAACTGGTGTAAAATCAACGTCAAATACTCATACCAGTTCCAGCTGAAATTCATTACCGTAACACTACAGTCCAAATGATATTGGTTAATTGATTTCTTGAATTAAGACTAACAAAATTACTAACAACTACTTATGTTTCTATGAAAAGATTGAGCTATTTCATCAGCAAAAGATACTTCAGGAGCTAGAAATTTAAAAATCAAATCTAGTGCGAAATTTTGGTTCAAAGTATCCTTCTACAAAGTAATTTAAATGCCTAATAAAAGCTTACTGAAATGTAAGTACTATTAGTGTTTCTAAACTTTAATATGTCAGTGGATGTTGTTAAAGTCAACTGCCAATACCAACAACTGTTACTGGGAGAATCGATGGTGTGAGATAGTCATGACATCACGTCACTGTCAAAAATGCCCACCTTCTATCGCATTGTCTGCTGATAGAGCAGGAGTAGAAATAACTTTAAAATTGATAGTGTACTCCGGTACAGTGGCACATGTAATGTCACTTGCCCTGATAATTTTTCCACTATACCGACCGTTTTCCTGCTGATTTTTTAAATAAACAACATTATTACCATTGGAAAGTCAACTGGACACCGGTACAGTGTGATATACAAATTTGCTTGCCCGACAGAAAAAAAACACTGGACTCGGACGTCGGGCAATGGGTTATTTCCACCCCTGTAGAGGTGCCTGAGAAGTCATGATCAACATTTAGCTGTTAGTAGACACCATGTCATGTACCTTTTTAAGAAGTTCTGGAGAAGAAATAGTTCCCTCTTTGACAGGCTGTAGCTTAGTTGTTCTTGGGTCTACAGACAAATCAATTAGTGTTCTGGAATCGCCAGGACATAGGCTATCAGACATACATAATACAGACAGCTTCACAAATGTTTCCAGTGTTGTAGTTAGTGTTTATGTGGTTGGTTATGGTGTTTATTTTGGTGTGAGTGTCGATACAATTTCCATTTAAATATCAACAACAGCCAAGTTGAAATGTGACACGAAGCGCCCGTACTCTGTATTTGTGTA